TAACCATGATGACCAGAGTAGCGCAAACTCCCCTCGTAGTTGGCTAGGCAGGATCGTTTGGAGTATATCTAGAGACACCCTAAATCACTAAGAATTTGTCTGTAGAATCGAATAGATTGCAGTATACTGAAATAGTGAACTGGAAAGATCTTTTTTTTTTTTTGGTCTCGCGGATGCCAAGGAGGAAACTGAAGTGATTATGGCATAATATATATAAGTCTCATATTCCTTTCCTACTGTGGTGACTGAAAACATAAACCATTTCTCGGGTATCAAAATCTATGGGCATCAAGAGTAAACCTTGAAAGACCTATGTGCTTTTCAACTGTACCTGTTCTGATTGGTTCATAATCAGATGTTCCGCCTCAGCTGTGGTAAGGGATTGTCTTCTAGAAATTGCTAATTTGGATTTATTAGTGAAAAACACCACATTCCTCTAAAATTAAAGATTTCGTGTGATCATGTATTTCTCAGTGTCCTCTTCATTCCACTTCACATCGCCTTACCACCTGGATCGATTAGACAAGACAGATCCATCCATTGTGCAACCAAGGGCGAACCAAATATAGACCAATCCTTACTAGCGGCAAATTATGCTCCCTGTTCAAACCCATGCCACCAAACCAGGTGGGCTCTTATTGGCAGGAAGTAGCAGCACAAGGATAAGTAGCGTCATCTAAGCAACCCAGACTAGCTAAGGTTAGAAGAACACGGAATGCTTCAGCCAAAAACCCGTTCGGACGACGCATTCACGTAAGTATTCCCCTGAGCCCCCTTAAGCTTGCTGCCCAAAAAGTGGAGTTCGCTAAAATCAACAAGCCTCTAGCGTCCTCGCGTCGTTGGGGCTTGAGCTGTGGAGGCCACTAGGTGCAGGGCTTGGTGCACCGATCAGCTCGTTACATCCCCGGGCGGACGCCATTTCTTGTACCCTACACATAAGCTCGGTCTTATCCAAAAATTCATTCATCGAAATTGGCTAACGAGTTGACAGATCGTTGTTAATCTGCGGCGCGCAGTGGAGTCATCGTTCAAGTAGTACAGTTGAGCAAGCGCTGGGTGTTTATATGTCCGTGAACCCCCTATAAGCGTTGAGTAAGCTCAATCATGACTGTCAACATGTCGCAACCAGAACGTAGCCTTCAGACAAATTTTCTTCAACCCGACACTCCCTCTGAGATACCAAATGTCTTATAACCGAGCTTTTATTATATTAAAGTCTGTTGCTATTCTTTGGCGAGTCCTCTATACCTAGTACACTAGCATCTACTACAACATGCCTTTGTGCAAAGTAAAGGAGACAATTGGATCCTACCTGCTCAATGGATGCTTCGACACTGATATCACTTAGGGAGGGGAAAAAAATTGATAAATAGATGAGTTTATGTATTGAAAAGGAATAGACAACGGACACCACCTAGCTTTGGTCTACTACCCTTAGGATTGATCAAATTTGATAAGGAACTTCTAGTCTGTATCGGTTGACAGAGTTCATTACTTATATATTAGTACTGGGATGATTCTCATATAGGAGATATAAACAGAAGACTAGGCTTATGTGACTAACAAAATGGGTTGCGAGCGCAGTTATAGACGATGGGGTGTTCCCTTTTTGTCTAAGTAGGTAGTGAGAAGATCTAGATGAACGTATGGCTATATATAGAGCCCAAAGTGAGCCCCTGAAGGGATTAGACAAGGGTGGCGTGCAGGGCTAGGTGCTTCCGACAATGACACCTTCAGCCCGTTTCAACTACACTCGGCTCGTACACGAAGCACCTGTTTTTCTGTTCACTGGCTTACTGAAGCAATTATAGAACTTACTAGGCTATTCGTCTAGCCGTATACTGACTTACGCAGTATTTGTTTATAAATGCACGTCAACAAATCACTCTACTACGCATTCGTGTGCTCTTATGTCCTCTTGTGCTGGCCATGATACGAGGGAGGGAGGTACCAAGTAACTACGTCGATGCTTTTTAAGACAACTCCTCTGTGCGTGACGAAGAGGCGCAATATGAGACAAAGCGGCGCGGGATTGGCGATTGGCTGTCGAGCTGCATTTTACTGGATACAGTCATGTAAAATGTGGTTCCGAAAACAGAATCATCTGTGGGGTGGGCTCACTTAGAACCCTGTTTTGGAGGTTCTGTCTCCAAATCTGCTTCTTGCCGCTTTTTTGGGTAGCTGCTGGGCTGGTTGTTAACATCATTTGTTCTGGAAAATATAGAAAATTAGGAAGTTGGGAAGTTGGGAAGCTAGGGTATAAATGGGGCAGGTAACTCAGGCACCCACCCAAGGATAGCGACGAATAATGCAGCTTTGAGTTGCTGAAGTCGCCGAATGAATACCTGAGCAATACTCAAGTGACCAAATACAAACCTAATAATGAGGTTTAGCGATAGGGTTTTCGAGGATATTTGCGAAGATGAGCAATGGAAAGGTCGCAATACTTTTTCATGTATGCAATTGCGGTGTTGATTCTAGACTCCAATCCTCCTGACGGACCGCAAGTTCTCGATCGGTCCTACTCTACTGACGGACAAATAGCCCTTCAGTGAACGACCGCTAACAGAAACCCATCATACTGTTGATCAGGTGAGTTCTTGTGGGAATTCACCGTTGACACTAGTGTTGCCGTCACTCGACCGTCCTCTCCAGCCTTTGTAACAAGGGATTCCTTCCCAGGCTCCAGCAATTCATCCTCCAGAATTGTTCGAACAACATTATCGACATAAATGCAACCCTTAGCCCTCGTCAACTTGACAGCCCAGTCAAAATAATCCCACTGTTCTCCCCAATCAGCATCAATGAAAACCAAGTCAAATTTCCTTCCCTCTTCTGCCAATTTTGGCAGAACGTCCAGTGCCGCGCCTAAGATGATTTCTGGATCAAGGCCCTTGGTATTCTCCAAAGCAACATCTCGGTGCTTAGGATTAATCTCAATGCTCGTGACCTTGGCACCGGCTTGAGAGAACCAGATGGTAGAATACCCGCCCAGTGTGCCAATTTCAAGAACTGTCTTGGCCCCGATGAGCTGGCATTGAATGGCAAGGTACTGTCCCTGCAAAGCAGAAACGGTGATTGCGGGAAGACCTTTCTTTTCAGAGTTGATGATGGCGTTGTCGCGTTGAGGGTTTGGCTTGACGAGAGACTTGGTCGCCAAAGTGTCAACGGCGACAGCCTTTGCTAAGTTGTTGCTGGAGTTTGAAGACATGTTCCAAATATTGATCTTTAACGGGAATGTAATTCTTGGCTTAATGTATGTCTTGAGATGCGACCAAGCTCTTGGACTGTAATTCGACTTTGTCGATTTATACATTTAGATGAATGAAGTCTTCTCTCTGTCGCATCACTTATGCTCTGTCACTGGCGTTGCTGCCTTGTTAAATAGTGTGACGAATGTGCTGCAGATCTAGACGGACATTGGGTCGGACCTCGGTGCTTCATGCCAGTGCAAAATCCTGAAGGTGGTTTGGCGCCGCCTAAGCCTATCAACACCGCTGATGTCCTGGATCACAGAATTAGCCAGAATCTGATAATGCCCATTGCATCATCTGACGCGTAACATTATAAGCTTAATTCCGAAGATCTCGGCCGCGATCACTTCCACCAGGTTTCCCGTGATCGATGACTTGGCGATGATCGGCGGATCTTTATCGGAGCCGATCGGAGCCAGTCGGCGGTCAGCCTGTGTCCTGACTACAACTCAAGTCGAGTTGTTACAGTATCGCATGCCTAGATATCCAGGAGACTAAATTATTGTGATGCCTGTCGCAGTAATATGTGGTCACGTCTTAATTCTTCAGCACTGTTGGCAAAATTCCTGTGACAATAATAATGCGATTGTTACATCATATTCTCAAACAGAATTGCGCCTCAAACGCATCGCTGCTCCCGTCGAATTGTTACGGAATCATTTCAGCCGCTGAACATGGTGGGGCCAGGTGGACTAGTGTAGACGAGTGAGTTTCATCCTAACTTATTGCTTGAAAGAAAAGGCGATCACCACTGTATATGGCTTGATATGCGCTTTTTTCCATATAATGGAGTCTAAGATGTCGATATTGTGTTGGCAGGTCCGCGATGCGCGACGCTGAGAGAACGTGTTGTGCCCCGCAAAGGCCTATTTTATAGTACAGGAACGGCGGCAAAAGCTTGAATCGGGCGCCAAGCAAAGCTAAGTTCAAGCGCTGACCTGCCTGAGACGACGGTTATAGTGGGGGACCAGTTCGAGCCGACACTTCTTTCTACCTTCGCACCTGCAATCAACGAACGTGTGCTGCTTGCAAGTGTTCTTTTACCGTCCATACGACTAAACTATTATGGGATTCTTGGTTGATCTCGGGCCGTTATGTTGGTATGGTGTCAGGGCGGCCATACAAGCTCTGACAATCTCGGGGAGAAGCATGAGGTCGAGACCGGCGCCGGGTGGAAACGAGACCTGAGGAAGCCGCTTTTGTGGGGCGCCGGCGTTGTCCTGGAGCCTTCGGAGCCGAGTGATGGGGCCCCGGCACCTGGCACCTGTTAACGACTGTGTTCAAAGCCTGTGTGTCTCTGGCCAGTTCTACAGGCACGACTAACAATGTTGGCAATTACGCCGCATCTTACCAGACCCTGCCAGGCGATGACTGAAGTGGCTTCTCGGCGGTGGCTCAAGCTGCCAGTTCGAGCATCTCTTCGTGACTCATGACGATTATTATCGCGTTCAAGCCAATAGAATAGCTCTAATGTAATTGCATTGTCTGGGATATTGGCGCTGTTTTCTTCCGCTGCGCAATGCTTTACGAATTCGAAATGTTTGGAGTTGCAGCCTGCTTCCAAAATCCGCAAAAGGCTTTTAGCCACGCCTAGTCTAAAAGGACCAGCTTCGAACGGCGACTTGGCATGTCCTGTCAAGCGAGCTAATCGAGTATATCAAACGCTTATGTCTCATTGACCTAGCCACAATGGACGATGAAGCACATGTGAAAACACTGTCTAAGCCATTTCAACTTTTACAATGGATGAATCCCTTCAGTGGCCGGAGACAGGATGCAATTCCCGAAGAGCGCGAGACTTGCCCCGAGTACAAGGCTGGCTTCTTCAGTCTACTTACATTCTCCTGGATGTCTCCTCTGATGGCAGTAAGTAATGGGGCCCACTTGAGAGCTACATACACTCTATGGTTTGACTTCTAACTGAATTAAAGACTGGATACCGAAGACCGCTTGAAATGAATGACATCTGGTTGATCAACCCCAATCGAAGCACCCACAAGCTTGCAGCACAACTCAAGACCTCAATCAGAGAGAACCAAGCAAAGAACGCCAATCGCCCGCTACTATTCTCCATATGGCAGAACTTCAAGAGAGACATCATCATTGGCGGTGCTGGAGCTTTTGTTCTAAGCTGTGCCCAGGTGGTGATGCCTCTGGTGATCAAATATATCATCTCCTTTGCCGTCAAGTCTTACTATGCATCTTCACTTGGGGTCGTCGCTCCACCAATTGGTGAAGGAATTGGTCTTGTCTTTTGTTTAACAGTACTTCAAATTCTGGCGAGTATTGGGTCGAATCATTTCTTCTATCGTGGTATGATCGTAGGTGGACAGGTCCGATCGGCTCTCATTTCAATTATCTTCGACAAGTCAATGACCATTTCGGGACGTGCCAAAGCTGGAGGCAGACAAATCCAAGAAACACCTGTTGTCGTAGAGCCTGGAAGCCAGGAAGAGAAAGACCATTTCCAGAGCGAACTGGCCAAAGTAGGAAGAAAGTCAAAGCAAGGTGAAAAGAGAGGTAAAAAGGGTGAGCAGAAGGAAGACACTTCAGGTTGGGCGAATGGACGAATCGTCAATTTGATGTCAGTCGACACCTATCGCATCGATCAGGCTTGTGGATTCGCGCACCTTGTATGGACCTCTCCACTTTCTCTGATCGTCACGATCATCCTTCTGCTCTTGAACTTGACATACAGTGCCCTGGTTGGTATTGGTCTGTTTCTACTCTCCTTCCCGGTCATTATCATGGGGATGATCATCATGTTCAAGCGACGGAAAGTTATAAATAAGATCACGGACGAACGGGTCACCCTCACCCAAGAGGTGCTGTCCGCGATTCGCTTCATCAAGTATTTCGCTTGGGAGGCAGACTTCTTGAAGCAGTTGCAGCACGTGAGACAAAGAGAGATCAGCACCATACGCTGGCTGTTCGGAACTCGGAGTGTGATCAACACATTCGGAAACACAACGCCAATCTTTGCATCGATGTTATCGTTCATTACCTATTCGGTCACAAGTCACTCCTTAGACCCGGCTCCTGTGTTCGCGTCACTCGCGTTGTTCAACCAGCTTAGAAGTCCTCTCATCATTCTACCTATGATTCTCGGCATGGTCACTGATGGTCTGCAATCTATTGCCCGGATCGAACAGTTTCTGCTATCTGAGGATGACGAAGATGAGGTGGTTGCCAACATAGAGGCGAATGAGGAGCCGAAAGGAACAACAGACTACTCCATTGAGATACGCCAGGCATCTTTCACATGGGAGCAAAGTTCTCCTCCAGACCCCGACGAACGTCTTCGTCTGACGGATGTATCCAATGAGGAGATGATGAAAGCAAAATTCGGTGCAAGAGGCAAGGAAAAAGAGTTAAAGAAGAAGCAGAAAGAAGCTGAGAAGGAGAGAAAGATGGCTCTCAAGGAAGGCAGAGATCCTCCTGAGACAGAAGTGAAGTCTACACCGCTGGAAGAGCACCGAACCCCTTTCGCACTCCACGACATCAACATTGACATTGGTGCAAAGGAATTCATCGGCGTAATCGGAGGGGTTGGATCGGGCAAATCGTCATTGCTGTCCGCAATCTCTGGACAAATGCGCCATACTGCTGGCATGTCTACTGTGAACAGCAAACGAGCGTTTTGCTCCCAGGTTCCCTGGATCCGAAATGCGACAATCCGAGAAAACATTACCTTTGGGCAGAAGTTCGAGCAAGTCAAGTACGATCGAATAATACAAGCATGTTCGCTTACCCACGATTTGGAGGTGTTACCCCATGGCGACATGACTGAGATCGGCGAGCGCGGCATCAACCTGTCCGGGGGACAAAAGCATAGAGTCAGCCTTGCAAGAGCTATTTACTTTGACGCGAATATCGTATTACTCGATGATCCGTTGTCAGCTGTGGATTCATATGTTGGAAAGCACATTATGGAGCATGCTATTTGTGGACTATTGAGTGACAAATGCCGAGTCCTAGCCACTCATCAACTTCATGTCCTTCGCCGATGTGATCGTATAATTATGATGGAGAATGGCAGAATCGTGGCCTTCGACACTTTCGATAAATTAATGGGTCAAGAAGAGGCCTTCAAACGCATGCTTGCAACGGTCAACACCAATGAATCCGATATTAGCGACCGGTCCGAGGAGTACTCTTCGTTGGTCAAAGCCGAGACACATAAGATCGCTGAGCTACCCCAAGATGTCCTCATGCAAGAAGAAGAACGTCAGGTCAGGAGTATCTCATGGCCAGTTTACCGTGAATACGGAAGAGCAACCGGATCGCTGCTTATTCCGCCTTTCATTCTTATGACACTGGTTCTTGCCCAGGGCACGAACGTAATCACGAATTTGTGGTTGGCTTGGTGGTCTGAGAATCGGTTTGGTCTCAGCTCAGGAGAATATGTAAGTTGCCATTTGCTTACTTCTGCCCAGCATTTGCTCATTTAAACTAGATTGGCACATATGCATCACTCGGTGTGCTTCAGGCAATATTTCTTCTGATATCGACACTTGCATTCGCTGTCTTCGGAACGGAAGCAAGTAAACGAATGCTTCATCAAGCAACAAAACGTCTTCTACATGCACCTATCTCATTTTTTGATACAACTCCACTCGGACGAATAATCAATCGTTTCTCAAAGGATATTGACGTGATGGACAACAACTTGACAGAATCGATGCGCATGGCTGGGACGACGATGACAATGCTCCTAGCAATTGTCGCACTTATCATCTCATATTACTACTACTTCGCCTTGGCTTTGATCCTTATCCTTGGGATCTACACCTTCTCGTCTGTGTATTATCGAGCTTCAGCTCGGGAGCTGAAGCGACACGAGACAGTTCTTCGCAGTGCTGTATTTACACGTTTCAGTGAGGCACTTTCAGGTTCTTCGACATTAAAAGCATATGGCGTTGTCGGCGAATTCTCTCATCAGCTCAGAGATGCTATCGATAACATGGACTCAGCCTACTACCTGACCTTCGCTAACCAGCGATGGCTCGGTGTACGCCTCGACGTCATTGGAGTTATTTTCATCTTTATAAGCGGCATGCTTGTCGTGACCAACAAATTTTCAGTCTCCCCTAGCATCAGTGGCCTCATACTTTCGTATTTGGTCTCTATTACCCAACTACTACAGTTCTCGGTCCGTCAAACAGCTGATGTCGAGAACAACATGAACGCCACGGAGCGAGTCTACTACTATGCTCATGAAATACCTCAGGAGGCCGACGCCGAGACTCAAGCCCATATTTTGCCAGAGGACTGGCCTACGAAAGGCGAGATCGTCTTCCAAGGCTTGCAACTACGCTATCGTCCAGGTCTACCATTGGTTCTTCATGACCTGACGCTACACGTTCAACCTGGAGAGAAGCTCGGCATTGTCGGTCGCACAGGAGCAGGCAAATCTAGTATCATGGCAGCTCTCTTTAGAATCGTTGAGCCAGCCGGTGGGTCTATCATCATTGACGGCGTTGATATATCCACAATCGGGTTACGTGACTTGCGGTCTTGCATGTCGTTCATCCCACAAGACGCAACATTGATCAGAGGTACAGTGCGCTCAAACCTAGACCCCTTCAATCGCTATTCAGATGCCGAGCTTTGGGAGGCTCTGCTCAAGACCGGAGTGGTGCAACATGAACAAGAAGTGTCAGAGAAACGGATCACGCTAGAGACGCATGTCGAATCCGAAGGTGCCAACTTTTCACTCGGTCAACGCCAACTCATAGCTCTTGCCAGAGCACTAGTGCGAAACGCGCAGATCGTTGTGGCTGACGAGGCTACAAGCTCCATCGACTTCGAAAGCGATGCTCAGATCCAGCGAACTATTCTGCAAGGATTCAGGGGTAAAACGCTTTTGTGCATTGCTCACCGATTGAAGACCATCATCGCCTACGATCGTATTTGTGTCGTGAATGATGGTCGAGTCGCGGAGCTTGACACGCCCCTAGCGTTGTATGATACTGGAGGTCGATTCAAACAGATGTGCGATCAAAGTCACATCAGCAGAGCGGATATTGTCAGTGCACCAAGTCTGGCATATGGTGAGTAATTGTACTATTACGGTTATACCCAACTCAAATCTTTGTACATTATCACCCTTCGAATAGAGAAGTCTTCCCTCAAGATACATTGACTGCTTTCTAAGCTTAATCAAATGGCCGCTATCCGTTAAGCTCACATCATCGATCAAACGACAATCTTGTCTTTGTCAAGGCCGTGCGCACTGCTGCGCCTATCGCCCTTCTCCTCAAATATATTGATCTCGTCTTGCCCAACAATTGACGGTAGACCATCTGTGTCATGGAGCCCATGGATGGCCTGGTCCACGTGTGTTTCCATAGCTGGCCAGACATAATTGAGAAACCAATATAGAGCAACCGATGTACAGAAGCCAAACAGCCAGTTGAAGCTGTATAAATGCAAGATACCTTGGTTTACGTGAACGGCAGATGGCTTAATGGAGCTGGCAAGTCCTGGAAGTAGGGGAGGTATGATGACTAGTAGAATCAAAACAGCTCGCCAATTTGTACCAAACTTCACAGACCATTAGCTTTCGCTCTGCCACATGTACAGCGGAAGACTTACCCGATTGTATCTGTATCGTCCATGGGGATCAAACAGAGCCGGAACGTCAATGTGTCTTTTCTTGACAATCCAGTAGTCGCAGCACAAAATACCAGCAAATGGCGCCATAAAGATAGAGTATCCGCTCATAAAGGATAGAAAAGTCGTCGCCGAAGCGAGGATCTTCCATGGCACAAGAGCCCAACCACCAAAGATCATCGCAAAGATAGAGCCACGCCGCAGGTTGAACCACTTGGGTGCTAAAGTGGTAATATCGTTGGAGAAGCTGACCGCGTTGGCCGATATGTTGCAAGACAGTTGTGCTAGCAACCAAATTGCAGATGCTACGAATGCTGCGAATCGACCGCCAGGGGTATCGCACCACGATGCAACTATAGTCAGAGGATTCCAAACATACTCTCCGTATATGTATTTAGATGCACCGGTGCAAGCAAGGCCACAGAGAGCCGTAATGATCTTGATGGTAGGAATAATGAGGAGCTGCCACCACTGAGCCCCTGGCGTTTTGCTGAAACGAGAGAAATCCGATATGTTAACAGGCAGTGTGGCCCAACCTCCTGTGACAGAAGTCATAGTCGATAGCCAGACCCAAGCTTTTGCGCTACCAGAGACGGTTGCTGGTTGGGAGAACAGCTCAGAACCACCAGTTTTCGCCTTGAGGCAAGTCCAAATGACCATTGCAAGCACCATCGGCGGAACTAGGATTGCCTTCGCGACAAACATGTATTGTAGACGTTCTGTCGGAATGAGAAGTAGCGGCGCTTGTAGGATACTGTAAAGTAGATACGCCGTCATGGTGCCGGTCGTGATCCCTGCCGATGCAGGTACCTGATTTGGGATATCTGCAAAGCTCGGCCATATGGCAGTGAGCATGGTAGACATCGCCGAAGCTCCCGCATAGGCAGTGATTCCAAACCAGAATAATGCTAGGATAGCTCTGGAGAACACTACAAAGTAGCTGAACCAGTAGCCAAAGCTTGATCTGGATGCTACTGGGAAAGCAATGTGTAAGTTCGCTCCCATGGCTCCATTGAGTACTGTTGGGATAGCATTGCAGAGCCCGGCTACCAAGATCAGCAAGATGGCATCAGTACTGCTCAAGCCCACGAGTAAGCAGCTTGATATAGCTTGCCAGCCCTGAATTGTCCACAGATCGCTGAACCAATATCCGGCGAAGGATAAGGATGTCCAGGTTCTTCTATATGGCTCGACGGGGTCTTGATCTATTTACAAGAGTTAGCAGCTTCCATCGATCTTGCATAGAGAGAATTATACCAGCGTTGCTCCATACATGCTCAGGCGCTAAACTGCTGGCTTGTTTTGGTAGTTTCCAAGACTCTAGGGATGTTGTTCGCAGCTTGGTACTCTGCCATATTGAGTACACTTTGCCTCGGATATCTGGCTGCAACTTCGCCATCCTGCTATGGTATTCCGATGAGCTTCTGTCTTGCCTTGCCCTCCACAGAAATCTATATGACAAGAGTGTTGCTGTTTTATAACTGCCTAAGCACCCATCGTGACCATTCATGGAATATGTGTGGGTCGGGCGAGATAAGTCACTGACCCGGGTTTGGCTAAAGCTGAAGATAAGGTACCAAGACAACACTAAATTAAAGGCGATTTCGAACATGATAGTCTGATAGTCCAAGATGCTCAAACTCACCCGACGTCAACCGGGAGAGTCGCCATAAACCTTGCGGAGGTCGGAGACCTGCGATAATTACAGCTTCTCATTGAGTGTACAAGAGACTGTAGACATCGTGGGCTGTTGCGTGGTGATACTGGCCTGTTCCTCAAGTTCCTTGGTGAGATCATACCAAGCGTATAGCATGGATCTTACAACGCGCAAAGAGCTCGTTGAAGTCGCACGTGGAGACCGACAGCCAGAACGGGTTCTTCTTGGTGGCAAGATTGTGAACACTCTCTCACGCGAGGTTCACGTCGGCGACATCTTATTGTACAAAGGCCGCATCGCGGCGGTTCTCGAACCCACTAAACAAGAATGGGGAAGCGAGGTCGACGTGGTCGACGTGAGCGGCTTATTTGTGTCTCCCGGATTTATCGATCCACACGTTCATGTGGAGAGCTCTATGATCACTGTTACGGAGTACGCTCGAGCTGTCATACCGCGGGGAACCACGACCATCGCTGCCGATCCGCACGAGATTGGCAATGTGCTGGGACAAGCCGGCATGAGACTTATGGTCGATGAAGCCAGCACCACCGATTTGCGGATGCTTCTGCGCGTTCCTGGCAGAATACCGGCAATGCCAGAAGAGCTAGAGACGTCGAATGCGAAGCTTACATTGGCTGACACTAGGGGGATGTTCAATTGGCCGAATGCTGTCTGTCTTGCCGGAGACATCAACCCGACTCTGATCATCACAGCTGACGAAGATCAACTGGCGAAAGTTGCAATGGTACAAGGACTAGGTCTCACGGTATCAGGGCAGGCACCTGGTCTGCTAGGTCGGTCTCTACATGCTTATGCAGCAGGTGGTCCCGAGGACAGCCATGTTGCTCAGAACGTGGATGAGATAATTGCGGACACTCGTGCCGGAATCCGAACAGTCCTGGCCCTACGACCGGGCAGAGGTCTAGATAAGTCACATTTCGCTCAGCTGGCTGCCAGGATCCGAGAAGATCGGCTCGAAACCAGATACCTGCAGTTCTGCACCGACGACATCCATGCACACTTTCTACATGACGAGGGTTCTCTAGATCATCGTATCAGAACTGCCATCGAGGCAGGATTTGATACTTTAGTTGCATATCAGATGGCCACCTTGAATGTTGCCGAAGGGCTACGCATTGACCGTGACTTTGGCAGTATCAGCCCTGGTCGTCACGCGGACCTCATCATTCTCCGAGATCTCGAGAAGGTTATTGTTGATCGCGTCTTTGTCAGAGGGAACCTAGTGGCTACCGGGAATGGAATGATCAAGGGCAAAGAGTTACCCCCGGGATTCAAATATCCTGATTTTGCTAAGAAGACGATGAAATTGAAGAGAAGCATCGAGTGTGCTGACCTACAAATCAAAATCAATGACACAGCACAGTCTTCAATCTTAGTCCGAGCTATCACCATGACCTATCCGAAGCAAGAAAAGCAGGTCCAGCTCTCAATTGAATCAGGCGTCATACTTCCTGACCCAGAGCAAGACATTCTCGCTTTCTCAGTAGCTGAGCGCCACAAATCATCCGGTCGCATAGGTCGTGGATTCATCAATGGGTTTGGCCTCAAGCGTGGTGCACTTGCTACCAGTATCAGCCACGACGCGCATAATCTTCTCGTTCTTGGTGCGAATTTTGACGACATGGCACTCGCGGCAAACAGACTCGCTGAGATTGGCGGTGGCTACGCTGTTGCTTTAAATGGCGAGATCATTTTCGATTTGCCGCTTCCAATTGCTGGGCTGATGTCTGAGCAGCCGCTTGAAGAAGTTGCAAACGCGATGGGTCGACTGGAGAGTCTTCTATCTGACAAGCTCGAGTGTGCTGATAGTCGAGGAATCCTCATTTCACTGAATTTTACCTGCCTACCGAACATACCCTTCTTTGGGTTCACAGATCACAGCTTAATCGATAGCTGCTTGTTAGCGCCGGTAGATGTTGTTGTCGGTTCCAAGTAGCTACTTTGTTTACTTTGATGCTAGATATGGAACTACAATATTTCTTGAATGACTTGTCGTGGCTAAATACATACCGTTTCTTTCCACCAAAATGGAGTGCAGAAGCTGTAGCCCGCGAGCCATCTCCAGGCATCTTTACAATGGATGGCATGATGCGAGGTAGCTGAGGTACAGTACTGCTGGGTGGCATATTAGCGTGCTGGCCCGGCGAGCCCCGAACGCTAGATGTGAGGCTTCCGGTGCCCGCCGTGGGACCCCGCGACTGACCTTGGCTTCGATCGCTACAATTCTTGGGCCATTGCATGGGTTTGGATTGCCTAGTTGAGTTCGTAATCCTGACACCGGCATTGGTTCATCCCTGCTGAAGCCTTTATGAGGCTCTGCCACGAATCGATTGAGAGGAGGCCGATGCGCGGCCGCGAGATGGCCGTCAATGGACAACCGAAAGAGGCTCCGAATCACTCAGCGACGTCCACTTGCCTGCAGCGGTACGCCTTTCCTTTGCATGCAGCTTGAAAGCGTGTCTGACCCCTGGTAGCTTGCACCGCTAAGAAGGTGAAATGCGATAAAACGGTTCCTTGCGCCAGATGCCTCAAATCGGGCACGGAGTGCACCCGAGAGATTGTTCGTGTGAGCCACGCCGTCTCTAAACATCGGGACGAGGTAGCGTTTCTCCAGGCTCTCCTGGATGATCTGGAGAAGGGACAGCCAAACAATGACATAGTGCAGAAAGTGCGACGCCGGATCGCTACCCTTGATAGTGGTCTCGGCGCAGATGAGATTGACGCCATTCTAGCAGCATCTCCGGACTCGCCAGGAACACCTAGAGGCCAACAACCGAGAAACCCTGGCCACTGGTGTGATGTGCCGTTCCATCCGCCGCACAATCATGGGAGCCAACCACAGCATTTTGAGAAGCATGGCCAGCCGAACAAGGAAGAGGAGATGGCCAACTCAGTTGCCGTGCTTGAGAATCTGGCCTGGGGACGCCATTATGGAGGATGCTACCCGCATCGAGGCTGTGTCTGCTATTTCCACAGGAGCCAGTCTGAGCTTGACTCTATCAATGCCGATCCAGGTCGAATGCGCGGGCTATATACGGCGTCTCTAGGCGACTACGGGATCAATCTGACCGACGTTGAAGCGAGGAAGCTCGTACAATTCCACATAGAGTACATCGCCTGGCACCACAATGCCATACACTCTCTTACCTTTATGGCCCAATGTGAGCTATTTTGGAAGACAGGCAAGCATGAGCACCCATTGTGGATGGCTCTTTATCTGTCAGTCCTGAGCGTAAGTCTAGATCGATGGTATATTTGCTTCATCCACACTGACCTTTTTGATCTTGATCAGACAGCGGTATGGTGCTCCCAAAATAGCAATAGATTCCAGGGTCTGTTGGGCATGCGTGAGTTATATCTTATTTTCCGTGTGCAACTTGACTCTCATACCGCTCCTAGGACTACCTCAAAACCTGGCTGCCGATCTATGGGCAGCTATGATGGAAGTATTAGCTTCCGGAAAGTATACAGAGAACTTATCAAGTATGGTCCCCAAATTGCATTGGCTGATAAGATAATTAACAGTACTGGTTTAATAGTCTTCAGCATTCAAGCTATTGTGATTTCGACAGAGGTAGCACATAACCTGGGAAAAAGCGAGTCCAACGCCGTCCTCGTCGCCGCTGCTGTGCGAATAGCCCAGTGTCTCGGTTTACACAAAATCTCCGATGCTCCCCAGCCAGGAATTTTGACTGCCGAGACGTGGTATGGTCGCGTCGAGAGAGAAGTTGGCAAGAGACTATGGTGTATCCTACGGATACAGGATCACTTTGCGATCTATTTCACTGACTCTTATGGTAAGCTATGAACCGTCTCGTGGACGCATTAGCTCACATTAATCTTCAAATTTTAGTAATCCACACCCTCTACTTCTCAACGTCCCTGCCGGCAAACTGTGATGATCATGATCTTGAAGCTAGGAGTCCTGATGTACCAACTATCAGCTCCTACACTCGAAGCCTAGTCCAAAGTAAGCTCTCAAGCTCGTGTTTTAAAGCTTGTAATTACTGACTTCCTGAAGTTGCTGCACTCATACCCGAACTTCTCGATTCTCTCGCAGCCGTTAGAGCACAGCCACTCACGGTGCACGAGAAGTATGATCTGGTCTTAAAAGCAGACCAGCGCATGAGACAATTAGTTGCTACCATTCCTTCGTTTCTCCTGCAGGAACAGCCACGAGAAGTCTTGGTCGATCATCCATGGTTGGATGTTGCGAGACACAGCCTGACTGTTACGGCGGCAGATAAGGTTCGTCACTCCTTTTCCTAGCCCTCGAATTCTGAAGTACAAACTCGACTGACAAAGGACACTTCAGATCATCATGATACACCGCCCCTTCCTTGTGCAGTCCTTCATCTCCCCACAGTACCACTACACACGATCCACCTGCGTGGCAGCCGCAACGACGCTGCTCCGCGCTCACGAGCAGATATATCTTGCCGACGACATCTCCATATGGACACACTCCGCCTTCTGCGTCACTGCCGCCATCGTGCTATCCCTAGAACTGCTCTACCGCCAGCCATCCGAGGCCGGCCCCGATGCGAGCACGGCCGAACAGCGCGACACCTACATGTCACTCATCCTGCGCACGAAGGAGCACCTGCTGGAGCGAAAGAATGACGTTGTCGCGGAGCGAGCGGCGAGGCTGATCGAAGCCTGCCTCGAGATGGAGAGGGTCATCAGTGCCGGAGGGACGTCAGACGAGGACAGATCTCCGCGAGTTGACCATTTCCACGAGATCATATCCAAGTTTCTTGGTACGCGAATCTCGGAGAATGACTGGCTGCTGGCAGAAAACAACACAGGCATGATCCAAGATGGAGATGACGCCATTCGCGGACTCACAAACACAGACTTTGACATATGGTTTGATCAATATTTTGGATCGGTATTGTAAGAAGTCTATATATTCATCGCCAAATTATTTCACTACAGCTACAACACCCCATGCTTATGCGCTCTTGCCGAATTGCTTGTCATAGCCCGTCATGCAGAATCGGTAGCGGCAATCGCTCTTCTTCAGCCTCACCATGGCTTCCTTCAGGCCCTCGGGGCCCAGCGGCAGCTCCTCGATCCATGTCTTGATGCCCTTGTCGGCAGCGAGCTGAAGCATCTCCAGGGTCTCGCGGCGGCTGCCGAGATGGCTGGAGCCAATGAAGCAGCCGTTGGTCAGGAAGGTCTGGTTGCGGATCTTGATACCCTCGTCCTCGGGCAGACCGACGCTGACCCACTTGCCGTGAACATCGAGCATGCTGAGGTAGGCGTTCAGGTCGAAGCCCTCGAAGCTGTTGGCGGTGTTGAGGATCAGGTCGAAGGTCATGGTGTGCGGCTCGGCCCACTTCTCATCGGCAGTGGCGATGAAGCCGTCGGCGCCCATGGCGAGGCAGTCCTTCTCCTTGGCGTGCGACCGCGAAATAGCCCAGACCTCAGCGCCGAGAGCCTTGGCAAATAGCAGACCAAAGTGGCCGATACCACCCATACCGACGATACCAACCTTCTTTCCAGGCCCGCAGCCATTGCGAACAAGAGGGGAGTAAGCTGTCAGGCCGGCGCAAAGCATGGGCGCAGCAGTCTTTGAGTCCAGCTTATCGGGAATGGGGAAAACCCTGTAAAATTGTCAATCATCAGGTCCATCAAACAGCCTGCTCGAATCGCTAGGAAGGAGCGTACCAGTGCTCATGTGTTCGCGAGTGAGAGGAGTAACCACCCTGTGAGATGACACCGGAGTCAGGCCACTTGGAGCCGTATGTGTCTAGCTGCTTCAAGCAGTAGGTCTCGTTCTCGTTCTTGCACTGACGGCACTCTAGGCAGGAATAGCACTGAGCACCAACACCGACACGCTGGCCCTCCTTGATGAGGGTGACCTTGGGGCCGACCTTGACGGCCTTGCCAACGATCTCTGAGAAGTCAGAGTTAGTAACCAGGTTTCAATTCATGTGCCATGCGAGGTCATTGCTTACCATGACCGACAGCCAATGGCCAGAACTGCTCGCCCCAGCCGCCAGAAAGAGTGTGGACATCACTGCCGCAGACGCCGCAGCACTCAATCTCGACATCAACATCGTAGTCGCCGAAAGGCTTGGGCTGGAACTCGTTCTTGTGGAACTCGGTCCAGCTGTCTGGTCCATTGACCTGGAAACCAGTGAACTTCTCTGGGTAAGGCATTGTGAATGCGATTTGTGGTTCGAGTGCGGGGAATGGGTCGTTGGAGGGGCGCGATAAAGCACTGTTGGACGAAACAAGAGACTTTTCTAGGCAACCGACACAGAAACCTTCAGTCAGAAGTATCACGAGATGTCGAGAAAGCAGAGAAGAGAGGAAAAACAGGCTGAGAGAAAGCTGAGCTTCGCGATGAAAAAGTCTGGACACCCCACCTTTTATTTACCCCCAATTCAATCAATGGAGGCCAGGCGACGAGGACAAGGACGAGGCGAGGAGGCGAGGAGGGGAGGAGGGGCAGGGCGGCTTCCGCTCCCCCCATACCCCCATAGTAAATCCTACTTTATCCGTTCGATCATGACCCGGCCCTGGCTTGGTGCTGGTTGGTGCTGGACTAGAGGCATCTCCTGCCTTCAACGCGTTTATCACACGAGACTGACCTGCGTGGATGGCCGCCAGTGACCCCGCCATCGCGGGCGGGTGGGGTTACTGACAGCTTTCCCACCGGGGGCCACGCTGTGACATAGGCAATGGGCAGCGAGCTCGCATTGCTTGTATGGCTTGTCGGGGTATTTTCCGCTCTGTTGTGCCGAATTTCCCACCACTCAGAGTGGGCTGGGGCGGCGGGTATGGGCGCCACGGTCTCCCGCCTGTCGGGCCTCACGAAGGAGTAGCTCCGTCAGATACACCGTAGCCGATAGACATAGCCCGAGATCGGGCTTACATCCGCTTTCTCGCTCGATCCTTGTCCCGGCAACTTGAGGCTGAGATAGAGTACTGACTCGCATGAAATTGTTCTTCATGAGATGAGTACACGCAGAAACTGCGAATCACTGGCAAGATGTGAGCGCATCTAAAGTCGCCTTACAACTCCCGTGTCTGGGGCGCTTTAGGATGCCATGAGTGGGGGCATCCCGTAGACCCATTTTGAGTTGTTGCGGTTCGAAGCGCTAAAGCCAAGTCGTGCTTCTGATCGTGCTGGAGACTCGAATCAACTCAGGCTGGGGCGCATTCAATCCTGACTTCACTCAACGTAGACCTTGTACTCGGCCAGGATGTCCTGCATCATCTCGATATCGTGAGCTACGGCCCGTGAAGAGAGGTAATAGTCTTTCCCTGGCTTGTGAGGTGAGAAAGATGCCGCTGTCGCCAGATAGAGGTCTAGGTTGTAGTGCTGCTAGGAAGGCTTCATCAACAACATAATTTTGCGTAAGGAGGATCCCTTCCAAATTGCCCACTGTCAACAATTGGTCAGCCCTCGAGTGATATGAAAATAAAAAGGTCCACATCTTATCGTGGGCCATGGGGACATCTAGTGAGGGGGTTCAGATTTATATATTTGTAGATGGAGGTCCAGGGACGCCAATGGGAACCTTGATGGCTCGTCGGCCAATGTGGTTCGGTCTCAATTGCGTATCAATCCCCTATTATAACGCGAGTATCTGAAGCTGATGTAGCGTCGACTGCGGCCGGCCTTACTCACACCGGCGAACCACGGTCTGGTCGGCGAAGTCTCCGGGGAGGGCTAGTCGGGCGTGTTCGGGATAAAGGATCCCGGTAGGCAATTGATCAGGATTCCCTGAAAGCTTTGGCTTCTCTATCGTTCTACTTCAAGCAGGTTTCTTCTTGGTAAGCTTCCTTGGGTTGGTGTCCATTCCCACATCCGCCAAGAAGGCAATCCTCATAGAGGCGCCGAGGTAGACGAATGGAATATTGCCCCAGTCAATTGCATTCCATCTCTTGTAGTTCCAATATATTTCCGGACCCAAAGCGCTCACGCTGTATAGATGTCCAAAGTCCGCAACGAGTAAGACGAAGAGAACAGTCTTCCAGACGCGTATGTCGGATGTAGATCGTAGCACAAGGGCTTCGTTCAGGGCGAATAGGAGGTATAGATTCGCAAGTTGGGAAAGCACAATTGAGGTGCCGGTGGGAATCGGATTGGGCAGAGAAGCGGCGTCAGTCAACGAAAGGTAATCATGCTTGCGACAGTGTGCATAGTAGGCGCCGGCGAGGGCGGAAATGGGCTCGATGAGGAGGAAGAAGAGTCGATAGAGTATCGGGAGCCTGAAGCTGCCCTGTGGAATAGACTGGGACCGAGGCCGAGCCTGGGGTCTCGATTGAGCCTGAGGTGGCATTGTAGTGTGTGACTGTTAGATGCTTTGTCGAAAGAACGCGGTTTCAGAGCAGCTGCGGTGATATCTGAGGTGGCGATGCTCGAAGTTGGGTCTATAGGTCTGATAGCTTGGGGAAGCTAAAGTTTTTGGCAGGCGCGGCTTGCATGAACCTTCCCACGCCGCACTGCCCCACAATAACATCAACACCAAGTCCCCGGTTTGGCTTGAGGAATCTGGCTCTTCAACTTCCATGGAAACAATTCTTCACAACTTGTTTCCTGTATACCCATGCCCCGCACATTAAACAAATCAGGTATGCACCATCTCTGTGCACCAACTTGACAATACTAATCTGTGAATCTCGTTAGCATGGTGGGTGTCGTGTCGAGGAACTGCTCTTGCTCCCGTTAATTGAAGGTACCAGCAACACATGTCGCATTCGCAAGCTCAAATGTAGGCATTTCATATATCTAAATATCCGCGAAATAACACCATTGATGTCTGGACAGGCGACGAGACACTCCCCATCTGCCAAAGGTGTAGTAAGGCTGGGCGGTACTGCGATCGCTCAAAGCAGCCCCTACGATTTCACAATAGTAACGCATCAACTGTACTTACGCCTGGAGGTGAGCACCCAGCATAAGTATCTATTCAACATAACTCACCACATTGTAGAAAGTTCAGCTGGTTTTCCTTCACCGAAGAACCCCCGCAAAGCTCTTGAAGCACCCGAAATTGCGCGCTTGTTTGCCCATTACATCGCGGAGCTTGCGCCATGGTATGACCTCAGTGACGCGTCGGCCAGATTTGGCATTGAGGTTCCAGAGACAGCGCTACAGACTCCCTTGCTTTTCAGTGCTATCATTGCTTTATCGGCTATGCACGCCAGTTGCACAAGAGCACAAGGCGCCCGTTCCACCGCCGAGTTCTATCATGGATGTTGTGTGCGCATGCTTATCGCTATCGAGGATGATAATGTGTTGCTTCAACAAGGAGTCGCATTGGCTGCAACTTGTCTACTGCGGTCCTATGAAATATTGGACGGTAGGCCATAAAACGATGTCTCCCTTGGGTTGAGCACTGACATAACTAGAGGACGTCGACCCCAACAGGCATCTCCAGGGAGCGTATTCTCTGGCATCATATCAGACCTTGCTTGTCCACGAACCAGACCCGAGCCTTCTCACTGCTGGATTTTGGAACTATCTCCGGGAGGATATCACTTTTAGCCTCTTTGAGCAATGCGCCCTGAAAATGGATTTGGAAGCAATCCCACCACCAGCCAATGTTATGTCAGATCAAGCCTACTTGAATTCTATGTCTCTACTCCTTGGAAAGATCATTAACATGGCTTTTGGCTCTCCTGCAATAGAATATGGATGGCTTGATCGGCTCAAGTCTGTCCAGGAGTGGCGTACTGCTCTCCCCGATACTTTCGAGCCATTCTCTAGGGCTAGTGATCAGTCAGTGCCGCAAGCCCTTCCAACAATACGCATGCTAGGACACCATCATAGTAAGCCTATACTTAATTCGGACCACCAAGGCACTAACACTTACCCAGCGGCGGCCATGCATTATTATCTAGTCTCCCTCAGTATTCTTGTGCAATGGCTAGGTCATGGCCAAGAGAACCTAGCCATCTTTCAGAAAGAAACTGGAACAAAAGAGCTTAACGTCCAAGATATATTAGAGAGATATGCACTGGATATTTGTGGCAGTGCATTCACCTCCAACGCACCGACTGTTCTTGTGAATGCTTTCGGACCAATCTCATATTGTAAGGCCTCATTACTGAAACGTTTCTATCCGTTGGCTGATTGGATGGTGCGCTAGCTGCACGTCATATCAGAAATGAAGCGTCCAGAAGTGAAGTGACAAGACGTCTGCTCGCAACGAAAAGAACGATTGGTTGGCCAATTAAACGCATAACCAGCGATCTTGAGCTATATTGGCAGCGAAGCCGATAGTCCTGAGAGAATGAAAAATCGTTACAACCATTTGACTGAAAAGATCATTTTGGAATGATGGATCCAATGTACCAATAGAACTCGGGTCATTTGATCTGCCTTTCAAGAAAGGGGGGTGATTTGGGCTGGAGCTAGCTTCTTTAGGCAGGCTTTCCCGAGCTCGGGTTTGCTTCATGCGGAGAACCTGCAATGCTGAACACCAGCCACTTATAAAGGTGCACCAATCCTTACAACTTGTACGTTTCAAAGTTGTTTAACTTACTTCCGGAACTCTCTCAAGGATTAATTTCTAAGAAATGTCTCTAGCACTCCTTCGTCGGTCAACTCCTCGAAAAGCTTATGCTCATCGCGCGTTCGCTTCACTTACACAATCCGCGGCACAACCTCGTCTGCCTACAGTGATCCGCCCTTCTGGTCAAGAGATAGAGAACAAAGCTCTTAGTGCTCGCAACTTAGAGACTGCTGTTAGACATGTTCACCAGGATGGGCTCGTGGTGGTAGAAGATGTGGTACCACATGAGCATCTTGACCGTCTCAACACCAGGATGGTAGAGGACGCGCGGATCCTGCAAGCAAGAGGGGAAGGCGGTCCTTTCAACTATATCCAAGGAAACTTACAGCAGGATGCTCCGCCTGTTTCTGAGTTCTTCTATCCATCTATCTTCACAAGTCAGCAACCGTCTCTCTGTTAGGTTGATTGGTAGATTGGTATTGACAAGAGGCAGACCCGATCGCAACGCAAATTACGTCAGCTGTACTCGGCCCACGGCCGAAATGGACGTTTTGCTCAGCTAACTCAGCGATGCCGCCTTTGCCTGGAGCTTCACCTCAGCGTCAGCCAGTGCATTCTGACGCCGACTTTGAACACCCGTCACACCCATTTGCGCTCGTTACCAATATACCCCTAGTCACGATGACGCCCGAGAACGGCTCCACAGAGTTGTGGCTTGGTACTCACAATTTTGGAATCAAGGCACAAGAAGGTGCGCATGGTGAGCGGGCCAGCGGTCGTATCACAGAAGCATTTCTCACTGAACGCAAAGAGATATGCGGACCGTGCCAACCCGTGGTCAAAAAGGGTAGCTTTGTGATTCGTGATCTGAGACTGTGGCACGCTGGCATGCCGAACCGAAGCCACGATGTAAGAGTCATGTTGGCAATGATCCATTTTGCGTCATGGTACAGAAATCCAATGCGGCTTGAGTTTGGGGAGGATATGAAGCCTGTCTTGGAAAATCTCGATTGGACTGGAAGGCTTGGGCTGGAAGTGCCAGTAGATTGGGTCACAACCAAGGATGCTTTGGATGGCTATTTGAATAGGGGCTTTGGCAATAGCTACGATTTTAACCAGGCTCCGTGATAATCTTGGAATAATACACCTCCGAGAATCGCTTCTATCTCATCGTGACATATGAATGAATTCCCTCGTGAAGTCCTCTCGAATTGTTTCATATATCTGCTTGACAATGCCAGCTATCAGCTCGTGCACCTCACAAATACATGTTTGAACCCCCAATTCTATTGCCAATGGCGTGGCCCAACCATTAAGCATAGCAAGGCCGGAGAGACTGCCCGGCCTTAGTGTTGACCGTCAGTGCCTGAGTATTCTCTGGCAAAGTAAAATAGTTTTTCATCGTCTTGGTGAGTAGCTTGTACATATCGGTCTTGGGATCCATAAGCGCTGGATTCTGCCGGATGGTTTCATCCCAATCAATTTCCGTCCATTGGCCGAAAGAATTCTTGCGATCTATGTAGCGAAATTTGACCTCGCGCACCTGTTCTGCGAGGTGCGTTGCTATCTTGCTATTTAGTGGTGCAACGCGTACGTTGAGGAGCTCGCCGAGGGCAATCTTGATGTTTGCCGAGTCGCGCTCAATATTAAGACCTGACTCCACGGCCCTATCGAACGTGCGCTTCGTGGCGTAGCTGAAGTCATTCCACAACCCAGTCCAAGTTTGACGGCCTTTGATGATGCGGTCCGCACTTGTGTCCTCATTCCAGGCTATATTGATCTGATGAAGGACATCACCAATCTGTGCAATTGTGCCGACCGTGAAGTTGAAGCTATTGTCAAGTTCGTAATAAGCGGGCGAATTCGTAGCCGTTCCAAATTCAATGAAGTTGATGAGTTCATTGAAGTTGCAGCGTTTATCCTCTAGGACCTGACCTTTACAGCCCGTGGCAATATAGCCCTTTCCAGGGCCCCAAACAGTACAGTCAAGGTCGTAAAGGAGGTATACATAGACTCTATCTAACGCACCGTCTAAGTCCGCCGCAAGGCTTAGGCGTATGAACATTAAAACGGAAAGACTGAAGACAGACTTCATATCTGTAGATATCACGTTTCGGATTCAATGCTGGTAATCGCAAAGTATCTAATTTGACTGAGTTTAAGGGTTTCATGAACTTTTGCGCAGGTTCCAAGAAGCTACCACTTCTATAGGCGCAGTGAGAGAACGTCACAGAACGGAGTCTAACTAAGGACTAAGGGGTGTCTGAGCTCTATGCTCAACTGTCAATACCTCGCAACAGAATGTAGATGCCTATACAAGAACGAGAAGACCGAGGATCATCGGATCAAAAGGAAATGAGATCTAAAATCAACCATCCTTACTCTACGGCTTCTACATTGTTCTGAGAATAGTTCATGGGCAGGAGACGATGAGCTTCTGACATGATATTGGCTTGGCAATTGATATTCCTGGCCTTCATCTGATGTTCCCGGTAGAATTAGCAAGCTTTTAGTCCGAATGAGACTTGAACTCGTTGCATCACGGCCGATTTCCTATTCCGTCAACATAATGTTACGGCGCGATAGCCGCCCGAGCCGTAGTGCTTTCACGCTGGTACAGAATCAAATGACTGACGAGAGTCCGAGAGAAGTTGCGAGGGTCGAGTGCGAATGCCAAGCCATCCTGAGCGCGGATGAGAGAACAATGGCACGGAAAGTCACCCCAGCTATAAATGATATGAGATGAAAATATCAAGCATAATCGAACTAAGCACTCATCTAGACCTCTATAATAGGCGCCGAAAGGTAAAAAGGGGGCGCTTAGCGGCTTGGCGACAACCGCGGTCAGTTCTACAAGGCAACGTTATACAGGGCACACTACCACCTTCCAAAAGCTATGAGGGTCAATGGTAGCGAAGTGATCCAATATTTATGAGTTCATGATAATTCCGATGGCTTAGGACTGACTCTTGAATCCTTTGAAGACCTTATATTGCCTTCACTTACTCCCAATTCCTATCAGTGGAGCTGTAGGATTAGGCTTCCATGTAGGCTCTCCGGGCTACTTCGCCCACATGTTCTCGAATAAGCCATTCCTTCGTTTAATAGTACTGCTCCTCTGCGAGATATCTTGAGCCGAATATCCGATATGTGTAGTGAGAAGACGGATGACTATTTACCCCTAGTAAGCCGAAACGGCGAAACCACTAGGACGGACTAGATGGCAGTATAATGATAGACACTCTGTCCGCGAATAGATCCGGCAGACACCAATAGTTCGCAATGAATGAGGTTCCATCATGAGGAGAACACTGAAAATGCCTCGGTTTTTTCTGAAGGGGCCAGTTCGCTTCATTCTTATCTCTACACTATGCCTTAGCTTGACTGCGAATATTGTGACGGGCTACCCCCACATCAACGACGACACTGAGATATATGAGCGCGGTAGCATTAGTAGTAGAAATTTCTCTTCCGATCTCTACAGTGCAGCGCAGGAGCATGAATTACTTCGACGGCAAGGAAAGGTGGAGTTGAGAATTCTGCCGTTGGGTGCATCTATTGTATACGGTGTGGGTTCAAGCGACGGCAATGGGTAGGTCTCCAAACTCTCGCTCGCACAACTTGTAACTAATATCCTTTTATAAAGTTTTCGTAAACCTTTAAGAGATGCTTTACGAAACAACGGGTTTGCAGTTAATATGGTTGGATCTCGCACAGGTGGTAACATGGTTGATAATGTTTGTTAATCATGCTTCTTTCAGTCATCATTTCAAGTCTCTCGTTGTTTAGTCTTACTGCTTCTTCCCTATCCAAACTTGGCGAAAAGGCTTCACTAATGCCTTAGTGTAGAACAATGAAGCAATTCCGGGAGCCGTCATCACAGAGATGCGTGAATATTTGAAAAGGTCCATGGGATACAAGCCTAACGTCGTTGTCATAAATTGTGGAACCAACGATGCTCAGCGCACCATTGACCCTGGTGGTGCTGGTGAGCGCATGAGAAATGTACTACAGGACATTTGGGGAGGTGCCAACATGGAGAAAACTTGTATCATGCTTTCCACAGTCTTGCCTACTACTAACGCGGCTGGATCAACCAATCGCATTACAATCAATAGATTGTACCGAACTTTAGTCGAACAGTACTGGAAGGCTGGAAAATGCATCTACCTTGCAGAGATGGATCCTGAAGGTAGCGGAAATGGCTGGATCTCTCTGAACAGTGACATGGATCCGGATGGAATACATCCAAATGACCAAGGACATCGAAAGATGGCTGGTGTCTTCTACAAGGTATGCTTATATAACTATATCTTGATATCGACTGCTAACCTCCGAAGTCTATCATTGCGGCTGTCAATGCGGATTTGATTCCAAGTCCAGCACCGATGGAAGTGACAGGTAATGAAGGCTGTGACAAGAAACCAGGGAATGGTATTTGGTCAGGTGGCCTTACACAGCAGGGCTCGGGTGTTGATGATGGAATTTACTACCATAATTCGGAAGACAAAGGCATCATACTTACTGCAGACAGCGCCTGGGATAGAGATCAATGGCGATTTGCGCGTCTTTACGGCTCTAAGTACGATGACTTTGTCGGCTGGATCGAGAAGGAGCCTGGTCAGCATAGGTTCGGTGTCTGGAAGAACAATGGGGGCGGCAAATTTGTGCAGCTCGCCGAAGATATGGACGGCAGGATCTATTGCATACCGCGTGGTCTTCATTTCATTGACATGAACGGTGAGTCCTAGTTGAGACTGACTTTACTGTAACGTGTCAGCTAAGCCTGGCCACTGACATCTCATAGGCGATGGATATGATGATATTGTCTGCATCACGCCCCAGGGAGATCTCCAACTTTCAATCAACAACAAAGACGGCACAGACACTAAAGCTCCGACATTTCGAAATCTTGGACAAATCAAAGCGAACGAAGGCTACCTCCAGGACAGGGTACGGCTCGCTGATATTGATGGCGACGGACGCGGTGACTATTGTATCCTCGATGATGGCGGTAATGTTCATTGCTGGCGTAATGGTGGGACAAAGGATGCGCCCGAGTACTGGCAAGCCCTTGGGTTGCGCTTCACTGCTAAAGGCATGGGAGATATGCGTGGTGTGCGCTTTGAGGATATCAATGGTGATGTAAGCGCAAAGCACCTGCCATTTGATATTTGATAGCATAAGACGCGAAATTTTTTTTTTTTTTTTTTGGCAGGCTCTTACTAACTCATGTTATAGGGTCGTGATGACTGGCTGTGGGTTAGTGATACCGGACAGACAACCACCTGGACCAACTCAAGGAGCTGCAAGAAAGGCCAGCTGGGTGATGGACTCAATGTAGCTTGGCGCCAGGGTTTCTGGCATGACCAGTCCTCTGGTCCTACCCATGCCGGCGTAGGTCAATTCGGTAGTAGTGGCCTTCGGAACCGCGTTCATTTTGCTCGAATTTATGGCGATGCGCTCGACTTCGGCCTCCTTCCCGCCCTGGATTATGTCTTCCTGCAGCATGAGGACTTAGACAGTGGATACCATCGCTTCACAATGCGTGTTTGGAAGAATGTGGGCCGTGGAAGCGCCAAGCTCAAGGCTGACGGAGTCAAATATTGCAATATGCTCGGACATGCGGACGGACGAATGGACTACGTCTGGACCATGTCAAAGGGAGAAATGCGCGTTTACTACAATCAAGGCCTGACAGATGTCTCTGGTGGCAAATCCTTTTGGGGAGCCAACGAGATAATCTGGGAACCAACACAGTATGTGGGCAAATACCTCGACAGACGCGACTTACACCTGATGGACTGGGATGGTGACGGGACCTGTGACATTGTATGGGTCGATCCGGATAATGAAAATAGGCCTTCGGTCTGGTTGAACCTGTATCCCTATACTGGCAAATGGAACTGGACTCCTCACTTGAACCCTGCTAGTGCAACCGGAATCAAGTGCACTCAGAAGAGAGGTCGGGGCATACACGATTGTCAGTGCAATTCACTTGCTGTAAATATGGTCAAAGCTGCTAACACGTCTCTAGTATCTGTCCGATTCGCAGACTTAGACGGAAATGGCCGTGATGATTACTTGTGTATTGAACCAAATGGCCGTGTGACGGGATGGGTTCACAAAGCCGACAATAGCTGGGAGGCAGTCGGTCAAATCAAGTACGCCGAAGGTGCAGATAGAGCTAACCTACGCTGGGCCGATGTGAACGGAGACGGGACTGCAGACATGCTGTGGGTTGATAAATTCAATGGCAATGCCCGAGTCTTTTACGGGCGCGGACGTGCAAACCCTGCCGATAACGCCGGTTCTTCCTTTAAGTGGGATCGCCCAAGCGATGCTTTTGAAGGGAGCTATGCCGGTACCTGCCAGTACTTCCCAGATCTCGATGGAAACAATAGAGCAGATTTACACTCTATCACGGGAACCTTTACCAACCAGGCGGAAACTTGGTTCAGCCCGTCGTGCGGTTTGACGGATCGCCAGGGCGACGACTCTAGCGGTGATCCCAACCTCCCCAATCCGCCATGGGATACCAACCCTGGCAACCCTAGCAACCCCAACCCAGGTGATCCTCAACCATACACGCCAAACCCAGATGACGACAAGCCCCTCGGTCCCTGCACTGCTACTTACACCACACTTGAAGACATAGAAAATGATTCTGGCAAGATCTCAACCTTTTGTGGCGTCTGGTATGTGCTCGAAGTTTTATCGGCAAAATTAGAAGCAGCCCAGTCACGCTATGATCAGATCATGAAAGACGGATATGATGGCTACTTTGATACTTTCGCCAAATATATTGTCGAGCAGGCACCTGATGCCATGCGCCAGTTTCTAAAAGATCGCGGGAAAGAGTTCTTCGACTGCGATATCATGGAACGCATTGAGTGTTGTCGGATCTGCGAGTTCGAAAACAAAAATTGCAGATGGTGTACAGACAGCAACTGCGATCTCATTGATAGCCCGTGGGGATCTGACCCAGGAGTTACGTGGGAAAAGAGGGCCGAAGCCTGCCCGCCCGATTATTCAGAACGTGGCATTGGCGAGACGTGGGAGTTCACGACGTACTGGAAGCTCCGCCAAGCGGACACCGAGAAGTTCTACGACGCAGTCTTGTCTGATGTTGGCATTGATAGAGACAAAGTCAAATTCGCTGAATGGAGCCAGCTTCTTGACCATACCCTGGACCCGGCTTGCGCCCACCAAATGGAAGACTATTGCTACTACACCGGCTTTTGGAACAACGCATCATATGATGCGGACTTCGGCAAAGGCGACGTGATCAATCCAAAAGACACCGTGAACTCGGCTGTGTCGTCAATTGGAGGGTTAAGGTTTAACTCGACTGTCGTGATAATGCAGGTGATGGCCGGCCGCTATGTTGAAGAAGGCTTTCTTCCAGACATTGTAAATTCTGTGTCTTTACCGGTGTTTATGATGGAAGATGCTGTCACACACATGGAGGATGTCGTAGAGATGGCTAAGGAAATCGAGCAAGCTGACATCAAGTTCCTGGTGCTCAACTTTCTCTCTGCTCTGTTCCTTGCCTTACCGTTTCTCGGCGAGGCGCTTCCGGCACTGGGCTTCGCGCAATTAGGTCGCTTTGTTACCATATTTGCCGAGACTGGCAACACGGCCCTTGCAATAGAGAGTGTTGTTTCGGATCCATCTACAGCACCACTGCTTATCTTCAGCCTCATCATGAGTGGTCGCAGCATCCGGGACACCAATCGTCTCGCTCGGGCGGCCAAATTGCGGGCAGGCATGAGGGACGAAGACTTCAACGCCTTTAGCATCGCCATCACTTCAAAAATGAACAAAATAGAGTCGGTCATAAGAAAAGATGATGCACCACTTATTTGCGGTCGCTGGGGTTAGAGGGACGAGAAAACGCCTGATTATGTTCGCCAAAGCTATTAGGACATGTAGCTTTAAAGTCTATTGTACAGCGCAACAAAGCGTGTCTTGTCCCCGAGAGACTTAGAGAGAGGGCGTTCGGGTGAATATGCCAACTCAATGCGCATTTGCCTTTTTCGATGGCATCAATGCCAGGCAAGTGCCGAGCAAGTGCTATTCGGTTCCTCACAGATCGTAATGAAATGGCTAGACTTATGGACTTTAGAGTCAAATCTAACCCTTACGAGTGCTCTCAGCTTCGCTCTTGAACGTATAGGTGACTCGAGCAGGCAGGCTACTTACGCTTGCAGTAGAGTGCCATAATGATGCCAATCTATGTTATTTAAATTCAGGCAGTCACACATGCGAAAGTCGCAGTATCAGATGATCATAGCACATCCCGGCCACCAATACTACGGCTATATGTACAAGTTTGTGAGGACACCTGGTAAGTCCCGTTGGACTTCTTTCCGCTTGCTAGGATATTCTCTCATACTCCAAGCCACAGTTCTAGGCAGTCTCTGCGTACTTGAAAAACCTTCCATTATATACTTCCGCCTCCAGTTGACGTACTATTCGACCTGTCAGCGCATCACCCGGTGGCAGCAGCTGGCTGGCGTAGAGCAGTGCAACACCGGATGATCGGTCCACGACCCAACTGAGGTTTGGCAGCCCACCCCATGAGATACTGCCCGCTCGCCGACCGCCGGGCACATCATCCATGGACAACATGCCACCAAGTCCCCAGCTCATACGAACTGGGGCAGGAATAGCCATTCTGGATCCTTCTGCCTCTGCCGCTGCATCCGCCGTCGCATACATCGCTGCTCGTATCTCCTGGAACTTGTCCGCTGATGCTTCTGGCAGGCTCGGCTCAAATAACAGGTCGTAGCTTGCTGTGCTTAATAGCTTGGGATCGCTGGTGACGCAAGCGGTGAGCAGCTTTATGAAATCTTGCGTGCACGTATATACGCCGCCACCTCCGTGGTCGATTGGCGTATTTTCGGGGAAGAAGGACGCTGGATGTGGTAGGAGGTCTCCATCTGTATTGCGGATGGAGAGTTCTGCTAGGCGCGCGCGAATGTCGGGGCGGTCTTGGAGGCGGAAGCTGGTTAAGTTCATACCAAGGGGCTGCCATATATGCTGATCCATGAAGCTACCAAGGCTAAGGCCTGTGGCACGCTCGACCATCTTGCCGGCCCAATCGGTGCCGATTCCATATTTCCAAGACGTGCCGGGCCTGAATAGCAGGGGTACGGGGTCGTTGGGACACTGATCATGGATGGAATTAGCATCCTGGACAACTAGGCTTAGTGCTTTCGTTCAATCGCCAACGTACGAGCAGTTCTGACTCAATATTCCATCCTCGCTCGATTTTGTATTTGATATATTGGGCAAATTCTGCATCTATAAAAGCGTAACCTAGCCCACTGCTATGAGTTAGGAGCATTCGGAGGGAGATTTTATCCTCGATCTTTTCTAGGAGAGGTTCGTTTGTGGACGGGTCGAATCCCAATAGGAGATCTCGATCCTGCCATTCTGACAAAACTGTGGAAATATCATCATCTAGAGCAAGAAGTCCCTTTTCGACACATTGTAGTGCTGCGATCGCTGTCATAAGCTTTGTACATGACGCAAACCACATACAAGTCTGATCGGAAAGGGGTTCATCTCTGATTGGAGAGTCGGGGTCTATAGATCTTGTTCCATAACATTTATGGTAGGTTGCACCTGTGACATTGGTGACGTTAGCTTAGTGTGGCTCTTATTTCACTGATAAACAAAGGGTTTGTCGATTGACGTGCCATTTTTATAAGCGGCCAGAACGCAACCTGGCAAAAGTCGGTGCCTGCTAGAGTCGACAATGTACGCGTTGGCGAGGAACTCGTTAAGGGACTGCATGATAAACTGATATGCTTTATGGACTATCTTAATAGCAAAGGCAGTCTGTTTGTGGAATTCAGCATATACTGGGAAGTTTGGAGTGCTGTCAAATCATCTTTCTACTCCCCTAGCGAGACTTAGATCCAGTTTCCAGAGGAGAAGATGACTCAAAGTCGAGCTGGCATTGTCTGAATCGTTTCCAATACCCTAGGCTAATACGGTAGGTAAAGCAAGCCGCGCTAAGAAGGCCCGAGGACGATGGATGGAAGCTATCAGGGAAAGTCCGTCTTAGTCCAGGTACTAGGACGGGATTAGAGACGGGAAAATCAGAAATTAACGACACACTAGCGCCACACCGTACGAGAATTGTGTAGCCATCCCGACAACATGGTCACAGACCATCTCTCTTGATTCTTTTGCAGCTTATAGGTTGCCTCTCTGAAGCTCTCCTTGATCTTGCTTGGCGGGGCCCCGCGTTCTCCAGAGAATGGTGGGCGGCATTCCTTCAAAATCATACTGGTAAAAAGCTCTACCTATATCTAGGCTGGGGTTGCCCCGAACACCTATCCACAGTACACCTTCCCCGACGACGATCACGAAATTCTTGCTAGCATCCTTCCTTGAAATCCTATTTTTTGGCCTTTGCTCTTCAATTTGTCTTATCTCGCCCATTCAATACCGCTATGGCAACATCATCAGCTATGGAGAAAGACGCCCAGTCCGTGGGCCAAGTTGAGAATACACACACAGTACAGGCTGAGCTTCTTCATTCCATTAGAGGAGTGGCGGCTATTGAGGTTGCACAGCAACTCGAACCTATCAAACCGCGCAGCAAACACATGCTGCAGCTGTATGGAATTTGTAGTATCATGTTCCTGGCTGCTAGCATGCTCGGATACGACGCCTCGCTTATGGGCACGATGTTGGAATTTCCTGCTTTCCAGTCGCAGTTCGATACTTCCATCCTTGGTGCCAAGGCAGGCCTGGTGACGGCCATGTTCTCGATCGGCTCTGTGTGTGCCCTACCGTTTGTGGGTCCTTTGGGTGATACTTGGGGTCGCCGAGTCGGCATCTGCATTGCATGCGCCTTAGTCATCCTGGGATCTATCATTCAAGCTACATCTAAAGCACTTCCGCAGTACCTGGCCGGCCGCTTCTTTCTTGGATTTGGCAGCGGTGTCGGGAGCGTCGCGCCTGCATATATTGTGGAAATTGCACACCCGGCCTATCGCGGCATTCTCGGTGGCCTATACAACTGCTTCTATTACGTCGGCTATTTTCTGGCAGCTGTGGTTCTACGTGGATGCATCAATTACTCCTCGAGTCCCTCTTGGTTGATACCTACATCTCTCCAGGCAGGGTTACCAACTATTCTACTCGTGTGCTGCCCCTTCTTCCCTGAGTCCCCGCGTTGGCTGTTCACACATGGACATACCCAGAAGTGTCGCGAAATCATCACCAAATACCATGGCAATGACAACTCGGAATCAATCTATGTCCACTTACAGATGCGGGAGTTTGAGGAAGAGCTCAAGATGGAAGGCGCCGACAAACGCTGGTGGGACTATCGTGCTCTTTTCAAGTCCCGTGCCGCCCTATACCGTGTGGTTCTCTGTGCCACTGCAACTCCTATGTTTGCCCAGTGGACTGGACAGGCCAGCGTTTCATATTTTTTACCAGCTGTGCTGAGCACGTCTGGTATTAGTTCCACTAGGAGTGTCCTAGATATCAACATTGGCATTGCCGTAGCGTCAGGCGTTGCCGCTATCACTGGTGGCAGCTTGATGGACCGTTTTGGTCGTCGCAAGCTATTGATTGGGTGTTGTATGGCCTTAACGTTGGCATGGGTTGGCATGATTGTCTGCACGCAACAATACAGCATTAGCGGTGGAAACCTCGCATCTGCGCACGCCTCAATGTTTTTTATCTTCTTGGTTGCTGTCGTCTTCTCGTTCGCTTACACTCCATTACAGCAGCTATATACCGTCGAGTGTCTTGACTACGAGCAACGGGCAAAAGGTATCGCTTTTGCAACAATGATGATGAGTGCCGCGTCCCTAGTCAATCTGTTTGCGACACCTATCGCTCTAGAGAAAATTGGGTGGAAGACATACGGCATCTGGATTGCGACTTGCTCACTACAAGCCATATTCTACTACCTCTTTATGGTAGAAACTCGGGGCCGCACGCTGGAAGAAATGAACTTTATATTCCAGCAGAAGAATCCGCGGATGGCATCGCTAGTTCGCAAAGAGTCAGTGGAGGAAGCCGTCAACATGACTAAGGATGGGCCGAAGATCGCGATTGCCTAGTGTACCATTCTGCATTTCTCATTGAGGCTCTTCTAAGTGATATAAACATACTTGATTATTGGTACTATACAAGCAAAGCTGTCGAATGATATCTAGCGTGCCGTTTCTTTCGATACTAGATCCTTATCAAAGCATATCAAAAGGAGAAGGAAAGATTAGACTCGGAAATACACGGAGTTCCACCGCTCTGTAGTGCACAACAGAGACTAAGACTCAAAGCTAATGGGTACTTTCATCGAGGTGATTTTCTCATTCATTTGAGATCTTTAAATGCAAATGCTCAAGAATAATATAGGCTTGAAGTAAGAGAATATGCTGAAAAATTGGTGATCCCCACCTATTTGAACAAAAAGAGACAATTAAGTCCATGTTTCTTTTCGCAAACCTGGTATTCTGGGAGTGTTCCTTTTTTTTTCCAAGTTAAATTGTGTCTTGAAGAATGTGTCCGAGATGGGAATATTGATGGTAGGTACGCAAGGAGCCAAAGTGGGGAGCAAAACTCAAGAGTATGTAACATCAAAGACATCATTTCATCGTTGCCTTGTATCTACGTTGGGTCTGTATATTTCCTATGAATACTCCTTGCTACAGGTTTGTTGATACCGCTCACTCATAACAGCCCTAAGCCCACCACAGCCTCTATCAACGGTCCATCCACAACGCACCCGATATCATACTTAGCAGGGTATGCAACATTGGGGCCTGTTTGGTTGTTGTACGCAAGCCGTAGCAAGGTCGATCGGAGAGGATGATAATTGGGCAACCCATAGCTATGAAGTCTGAAGTTAGTTTCTCTGCTTTCATACACCTCACGCTGATTCGTCTCCATTTGCTGTGCATACTTAACAAGTCCCTGAGTAGGATTCTTAGCGAATGCCGCCCACATCCCTCTTACATACTTCGCAATCTGCTCTTGTGCATCGGTGCGACCCAGAACATTTTGGATGTCGAGATCGGTCCCGAATATTGTTGATGTCTCGATGCCGTGCCAAGCCCCTGAGTCCGGAACTGTACTGAGCTGCAGATTGGGGAAGTTACCAAAGTAGCGGTACCGCCACGTCGGCACTTTGTTGAAAACGGACGCCAGTGCTCGCTCCGAGATAGCGCAAGTAAACAGTGATGTTTGAAGGAAGTCCCACTCTGCGTCTGGGTACGTCACATTCATCAAGCCATATATTACCTTGAACAAACCTGCCTCATAATTGTTCGAGCCTATCAATAGAGGTCGCTTGATCAAATTGCCCTTAGCCGATCGGTTTGCGTAGTCCGAAAAAACGACGATGTTATCGACTGAGGGTCCAAACCCGCTTGAGAGCCCACCTGACTGGGACTTAATACTCGCAGTTTGCACAGTCTGCCAGTTCAGGTTCTTCATGCAATTGAGGACGCCACTAGCATTTCCTGAATTCGCGTTGCCGCAGCCGAGGCTGGCAGTAATGTTGTACCACGTCTGGGCCACGGAGTCCGCGCTTTTTGGCGTGCCCGGTGTGAAGACAGTGCCTGATTCAGCGATGAAACCGGCTACGATAGGATCCTCGGTCCACGCGTACGAGAAGTGATCGACAGAGCTGCCGCCAGCCGATTGCCCGAAGAGGGTGATTCTGTTAGGGTCACCGCCGAATGCTGCAATATTGTCGCGGACCCATTCTATAGCTAAACGTTGGTCAAGGAGACCTAAATTGGTTCTCGTAGCCGGACTACCGGGAAATCCGAAAATACCCACTCGGTAGCTTTGATCGGAATTAATCAGACGGTGAAGCCATGCTATAGGTGATAAGGGACGAAAAGTTTGCTTACTTGGCGCTCACGACAATGACGTCTTCTGAGTCTGCGATGTACTTGCCATTGTACCCCTTATTATCTGTTGTTCCCGAAGTATAACCGCCGCCATAGATCCAGAAGAGAACAGCTTTCTTTGTCTCTCCAGTTTGAGGCTTCGTCCAGATGTTAAGCGTGAGGCAGTCCTCACTGTAGATGACATTGTCCTGGGATAGCAATGACATGAGAACCTTTACACCTTGCGCTGTCACTTGTAGATCCTGAGAGGACGACTGAAGCTGGCTAGCAGATGTGATGCCAGTCGTAGCTGGGCAGGTTCTCCCCTGCAAATATCAGTTGGTAAGTATCATAACTGAGCGACTAACATTGAAGACATCATCCTAAGCACTGTTTTACTTACAAAGGATGTAGCTTTGATTACCGAAGACCCTTTGAAAGGCTCCGGAGGTGCCCATCTCCTTTCGCCTACTGGTGGTTGGGCATAGGGAACGCCCAGATATTCAGACACACCCTGAGTGCCACTGGCAAACTGGCCTTTGATGATACCGCTGGTGGTGTCGACAATCCTTGGTCCAGTTGTCGCTGTATAAGCAAGAGAGACTAGGAAAGGCAGCAGTCCAACAGAAATGCTCTTGGAAACGATCATCACGACAAATTCAAACACCTTGAATGGTCCGATTATGACAATACGGGTTGATTTGGGTCTTCAAACTACTGCTATAATGCCTACCTATGCGCTTTTAAATACCTGCCCACTAGTTACCATGATAATCGTTGGTTTGCTGACGAGTCCAGTCTGTTGGAATGTCAATCGATCTTCGCGACTAGCCTGCCACAGTCCGCTACCCGACTCCTTGGTAACGCCCATGGGGAGCTTTGTGGGGTAATTGAGTCATGAAGTCTGGGTCCACGATGGGACTTGCGTTAGATAATACCGTGTATAGCCCCGTGCTAGTGTATGGGACGAGTTTCGGCCCTCGGGACCTCCAGTAACAGCCTTTGCAGTAGACTGCCGAGGAACCGTGGTCAAATCCACTAATCTGGCGTCGGTAAAGTCCTGATTGAAACTATGGGAATGACAAGGCCTTGGTGCGCAGTGGCGTACTAGCAAGTCCTCAATTATGCAAGGGCCGATATGACTAGAGAAATATTACAACTCGTTTGGTACAGTTTTATTTTGTGACCACATAGACTTTACAAATGTTACATGGATCCATCATAGAAGTGACGGTTCTGTCTCACCTAAGATCAATTCAGCACCCTGTGGAACTGACATCCACCAACATAAAGCTACCCAAATAAATTATGGAATACTCGACAGAAGAGCTCTCAACGGGATGGGAATTCAAACGAACCGATGACACAAGCCCGTGGCTGCCAGTTAACAAGGTGCCCAGTGTGGTCCACCTAGACTTGATGGCCAACAAGAAGTATGTTCTGAGCATATGTAAATGACAAGAAATGTTACAGGCTAACCACGGGTATGAAGGATCCCGGATCCGTCTCTTGGCATGAATGAGCAGGATGTTCAGTGGGTAGGCGAGGAGCGTTGGAGCTACCGCTGTTCATTCGCTCACCCTCGTCCCTCTTCGCATAGCAGCTGCCAGCGTATACACCTCGTCTTCGAAGGCCTAGACACCTTTGCAACAGTTCGACTCAATGGAAAGATTATACTCGAGTCGGATAACATGTTCCTTGCGCATCGCATAGACGTCACCGGTGCGGTTGTCAAATCCCGCGATGATGAACTGCTCGAGAATAAAACGAATGACCTCCAGATCGACTTTGACTCAGCCTCGCAGCGCGGGCGTGCACTTGTAAAAGCCCATCCAGAGCATCGCTTTGCTGGCACGCTCGGTGGAAACGAGCGCATGGCTGTGAGGAAGGCACAATACCACTGGGGCTGGGATTGGGGACCAACTCTGGTGACGGCAGGTCCAGTAAGCAACTTTTTGAAGCTCAATTCTACCTCTTTTAGCCATGTTTGGAGTAACGCAGACAGATACACCGTCTTAATATAGACGGTTACTCCTGAGACATCTATTTTCATGCGTTTCCCTGCTGTTTCACTGTCCTCAAAAGCCAATGACTGACTCCAGATGTTGCAGTGGCGACCGGTGCGACTAGAAGCATTCCAGACCCGGATTGACGACATATACATACAATACTCCCTAGATCAGATGCTCGAATGTTGCGAGGGCACAATTTCCACCCGAATTGACGGTATCATACCTGGAAGTCGCCTCAAAATTGTATTGCAAGGGCCGCAAGGGAATCTGGTTCAAGAATCTCTAAGCGACTCGGGATCTAACGGTCTTGTTATAGTACCATTTACTATTCAAGATCCGTGTCTGTGGAATCCGCATGGTTATGGTGGCCAGCATCAATATTCGGTCCACGTTAATCTGTACATAGGGGAAGTATTAGCGCAAGTTGAGACCAAGAGGTTTGGTATACGAAAAGCAGAGGTCATCGAAGAGGATGACGACTTTGGCAAATCCTTCTACTTCCGTATCAACGGAATTGACATTTTCGCTGGAGGCTCATGTTGGATTCCGGCCGATATGTTTCCTCCAAAGATATCCACTAATGATTACCGTGAGTGGTTAACAATGATGGTTCAGGGAAACCAAATAATGATAAGGTATGCTCTTCAACCCCTTTTACTGACAGCTCAGTTTCACGTTCCACATTGAATTGTATGGCTGATTTGCGTTTCACAGGGTGTGGGGAGGAGGCTACTACGAGCATCCTTCTTTCTACGATATTTGTGATGAGCTAGGTCTTCTTGTCTGGCAGGATTTCATGTTCGCTTGTGGCTCTTATCCAGCATATCCATCGTTCTTAGAATCGATCGAGTTAGAAGCAAGGCAGAATATACGTCATCTACGTCATCATCCCTCGATAGTAATCTATACTGGCGGGAACGAAAACCATTACATCCAAGAGCATTTTGAGCTCTCGTATGACTGGGCAGACAAAGACCCTCAGTCTTGGTTGAAGACCTCGTTTCCCTCACGCTATATATATCAACATTTGCTGCCAAAAGTAGTCGAAGAAGAGGCTCCTTCCACCTCTTATCGTCCCGATAGTCCGTGGAATAATGGCCAGCCTATTACATCCTGGGATAGAACAACGGGGGATCTTCATCAATGGAATGGTCAGTCTGTCAACCATGAGCAGCATAACAATACCTACTGACTTGAAAGTACGTAGTATGGCATGGAGATATGCGCCTATACCAAGACTACCACCAGATTGGCGGCCGTTTCAACAGCGAGTTTGGTATGCAATCACTACCGCACTTGAGCACCATCGACCAATTTGTCACTGAAGTCTCCGAAAAACATCCGCAGTCAGCTACAATGGATTTCCACAACAAGTGTCGAGATCACGAGCAACGACTGGCTACATATATCAGGAATAATTTTAAAGCTATCGATTCCAGCTTAAGGGTTAGTAGCCGTGGAATGTCTCAACCCCCTCTTAATTATGAACGAATCAGCTAACACAGACCGGATGGTCTAGAACTGGACATATCTCTCGCACCTGTTACAGTCAGAAGCCATGCACTACGCTTATCGCGGCTGGCGCCGAGATTGGGGTAGAAAAAACAAGCGCCAGTGTGGCGGCGCTCTCGTCTGGCAGCTGAACGATCTCTGGCCTGTCACTTCGTGGGCACTTGTAGACTCATCGCGCTTAAGAAAAGCCGCATGGTACGCCATAAAGCGCGATTTGGAGCCTATTACGGTTGGGGTCGTGCGCACTCACCATGACTGGACAAAAGTCAATGCGATTCCTAGTACGTCGTGCAAACTTGACGTTTGGATTGCGTGCGATGGCAGTTTGGCAACAGCAGGCATGCTTGACTCGAGTCAAGGAACTCTGGACGTTGAGTTGCGCTTCGTCTCGATTCGAACAGGTCTTGATGTATTACCACCACAGTTCCATCATGCTGCAGGCGTCAAATCCAATGGCACTACCACGGTGTGTGAGAAAGTCATCCTTACCAATCCGGTCGCGCAAGACGCATACGTCATTTCAGCCAAGATTCTGCTCGGCAGTTCCATTATCGCCAGAGATGTGGACTGGCCGCAGCCCTTTAAGTATTTATCGTTTGAAGAAGGCCGCGGATTGCAGGTACGACAAATGGGGTCTCAGACCAGGATTAAAGTCACCGCAAAGAAGCCTACCAAAGGCTTAATTTTCTTCGAGAGACAAGGTCTCCGATTCAGCGATAATTGTTTGGACATTGTTCCTGGGGAAGAATACATGGTAGATATTGAGGGCCTTCAGGAGCACGAAGAACTAGAGTGGACGTATCTGGGTAAGAACGAGGGTCACTACAGTTTGGCCCATGGTATCACAACTGGGTTGATGAATGGGCATTAATGGATTATTAGACGCCTTTGGTTTGGCTTTAGCGTAGATGAATGTTGAAATATATAGAAGCTAATAAAATAAATGGCGTTTTGGAATATACGTTATGAATAATTGCCTGTAAACTAGCCCATAGCTCTGGATTTACACCTTCAATTGAAATTTAATCGATGCTATAGCTGCATATTCTTATTTAACTCGAATTTTCTTGTGTACACCTGGTCGCTCCGAGTTTGATTAAGGCAGCAAGCTTGAATCAGTTATATCCCATTCCAGTCCAGTCGATCCATTCACTCGCATCCCAGGTCCAGCCTAAGGCCCATCAGAGTCAACACTTCTTCCACAGAAAGGATTTATATATATATATATTTGTATTGAATGTTTGACTAGGGGAAAAAAGAACAGTGTCTCTACCGAGGGAGACGTACCTTCATCTGTGAACATGTCGAGACCGAGAAGATCCCAAAGAGCCTCGCCCGGCAGGCCCTCCAAGTGACCTATGTCGTGGGCACGACTCGGAGATGCCGCGGTGGCATCACACACCCGGTACAAGCTCTCGACTACCCGTTTCGATCGCACGGCGGCCCGAGACCATGGAATTGCATTTGACAAAAGCAAGATTGCTCTCTCCACCGCGCCTCGCCATTTAGAGTTCTCGGAATGGTCCGGATCGACCATAATCCCGAGGAGGAGTGCCATCGAGGCTTGATACAAATACCACACTGCGCTGCATACCAGTATCTTGCTCGATCTCTGCATTGACCAAGACGCTTGTTCAATAGCTTCACAAGCTATGTCTCGACACGTTCGGACAGCCTCCTGCTCCAAGAACGGGAGCATCTCGTATTGGACACCCGCGTGAGCATAGCGAAGAAGAATAATTCGGAACAACAGAAGTCGCAGATTGAAATATCGGTTTCTCATGATGTACTGTGCCGAGAGTAGTGAGGTGGGGCAGCGGTCGAGGTCGAGGAATGCGGCTGGCAACCCTTTATACCAACTTTGCACCTCATTATCGAAGGCGACAACTTCTTCGATCTTCATAGGCGAAACATGCGCTAATCGGTGCTGTATCTTAGTAGCAATGATACAAAATTTGCGAGCAGAATCGAGCGAGAATGCGGCGGAATTGGACGATATCATGCTTACGTCGCTAGACTCGTCGATAACAGGCTGCACGTTCATGGTCTTCGGATCCCAGCGTCCCAATGTCGGCCGCCCCAGACTCATAGAGCCCCAAGTGTCAAGACAAAAAAGGCTCCACCAAATCTGGCGCCGAGTCTGTGGTTGCCATGGCCCTTCTATAGCTTCCTGCAGGTTGGTGATCCCAGGCATCACATCGGCAGGCCGGCGGTGTAGGCCCAAGCCAATGGCAATACGGTATGCGAGGCCCATGACGGCGTACGCTGTGTTTGGTGAGTTTTTGTAGTGTAAATATAGCCCACCGAGCAGGCAGAGCGCCTGCAAACTCTCCAAGCACCCGGTGCCCAGAAGGTCAAAATTGAGGTATGGCTGCGCACGAGTGTAGTAAATGCGAGAACTCTCATCATCGCCGACTGCCAATGACCCCAAAACGAGCACCATATTAAGAAGGGCCAGCCAGGGGCGGTCACACCGCTGTCCGCAGTGCCACACTTCGCGAAAGTATTTCTCGTCGAGAAGGGGCACAATACCATGAATATCAGCAAAATAGGCGTCGATGGCAGCGTCCTCCTGCAGGGAAGGCCTAAGGGTCTCATGATAGGACCGCGCCGAGAGGGCGGGAGTGGCAATATCACTCACCGCTGCAGCATTGTCAATCGGAATGCTACGCTGTAGCTCTGACTGAAGAAATGGCTTCACGCGAAACATTGCTCGAATGACTGCGTGTATCGAGCTTCCTCCCAGGTAAGAACGGCGATGAACATTGAGGGATAATCCATTCACATCATCGCAAACCTCGTGATGAAGTCGGAATTCTTGCCACCCGCGCTCATCGTCGCTTTCTCCATCTTGAGTCGCCGACGGGCTGCCCGGAGCTCTAGATTCGGTCGAGACTATACCTTCTTGTGTCGCTTCAAGCACCTCTTGAGTGAGATCTAGGAGATTGTGTGTAGGCAAATGAATCAATGATGCTGGATCTCGCCCGGGAAAGAGTTTGGCCACGAGAACCTCAGCAGCACTTGGCCGCCCTGCAGCAGCAGCTGCAGTAGTGAGACTACCACTTGACGCATTAGACAGATACTCTATAGTATAGTAATTGATAGCCTGTAGCTACGGGATTAAGTTTTACTTGCCTCTGCGCGGTTGACTTTCGTTGTTTGCGCCGACGGTATTGGCAGATTGGCACCTCGTAGTAAACGCATCGGTTGCATGGCAAATTTCCATCACACCGGATCTTGCGTCGCATGCACTCAACGCAAGTCTTGGTAATAGTAGTGTTGGTGGTTTGAGGCTCCATGGTAATGTCGGTCAGCGTTAAGAAAATTGGATAGGTGAGAGGATGTAGGTAAGTACATTACAAATTACCCTTGCGATAAGTCCAAATCCAAGGAAAATGGAGAAGCTAAGAATCCGCACTTAGACTGACTTGGTCAACCGTCCTTCCTATGCCCCGGCCAAAAGCTAAGGTGGCTGCTCAAACCGCATAACAAGAACTAATCTCACTAGCGAATACTTAGTAGTCCTTCGTTCTCATGGCGTGAATTGGATTGATTCAATTCGCATTTTCCCCACGTTTAGCACCAAGCGGCCAGTTCTAAGCTCTGGTTCGCGCGATACAGCCCTGTCACAGCCGTCAAGGGGTATGAGAGTAAGCTCCAATAGAGCATCCTCTATAAATCTGGATGTAAAATAATCCAAGGAATCGAAGGCGGAATTGCTGGTGTCAACAAAGAGATCGCCCCCAATTCCGACAATACATTGTTGGGATACCCGAAAGCTGACGCTCCATCTGCTCGTGAAGGTTGCAGCACAGGGAGCTTCTTGCCCTGAATTAGATAGCCACCGTCAAGAGTGATAGCATATGTATAGCAATGGTTTCACATGTGTAAGTCGCTGGAGTAGCAACATGGCCATTGGCAGACATAGAAACCTGTGAGCTTGATCAAGACATCGCAAGTAGAGATAACAACTGGCCGAGCATCATTACTTCTTCCAGGTATTAGATGAGACCTATGGGACAACAACAAACCCGATATACTCGCCACATAGGGATCCTTCTCCTAGAGCGCCTAATATGACAAAGTCTTTCCATTAACTCCTTCTCTCTAGGCTGTTTCAGTGTGAACCGGCCGATCACTTGTCTTTGGCCGCTTTTCATCTATATCTCCGTTCTCGACATCAGCCAGCTTGTCTTGCAAAGTCTTCCCATCAGACTTTCCCTCAAAAACGTCACGGATCTCCTCAAGACTATAGCCCTTCGTTTCCGGGAAGAGAAACCAGATGATGACCACTAGAGCGGCTAAGATGCAGCAGAAGACAATGTAATACTTCCACCCGATACTCTTCATAGCAATGGGATTGACCTGGTTTCCAAGAACTAGACCAGTAAAGGTTGCGATGTACATAGTCGACACACCTCGGGCTCGAAGTGTGTAAGGGTAAATTTCGACGATGTATGCTTGCAATAGAGGCGCCCAGGCAATAGCATAGAAGAAGAATGTGAAGAAGACAAAGGCAACTACCGCTTTACCGGTTGATTGATCGTGAGTCGTGACGAAGTGCGAAGTAAGCGCTGTCCAGATGACGTAGGAAACTAGCATTCCGCCGGTTGAGACCAAGAACAGCGTACGACGTCCTAAGCGATCGACCATTAGAGCTCCAACAAAGATGGCGGCAAGCCAGTTAGAGATCTGCAACAGACCATTGATCAAAGTCTGGTCCTTCGCCTTTGTGATGCCGATGGTATTAAGTACGAGTGTGAGATAATAGCTTATCAGATTCACGCCATTCCACTGAGCGAACCAGCCCACAATGACGGCGATAAGCGTGCGCTTGCGGTTGGCCGGTGTACGAACGAGTTCGAGCCACGATGTCTCCGACATGACATCAGCTTCATGTGTTAAGGCGAGTTCAATTTCACGCATCTCAAACTCTACCAACGGAGAGTGCTCGTCCCCTCCGGCATGATAGTCGACGAGAACCTTTCTCGCTTCGGAAGGTTTTCCATGAGCATACAGCCACCTGGGTGACTCTGGAAGGTACCAGATGCCGAGCAGCTGCAATGCAGGAAGTGCACCTTGTACAAAGGAAGGTATTCTCCAGCTCCAGGTCGTATCGATCTTGAACGTCCCATACGTACACCATGCAGCAATGATACCTCCAAGATACTGAAAGCCGGAGTACATTAGTTCATACACCCTTCCACTCTGAGTGTGCATAACTCACAAAAGACGTGTTATAAAGTGCCGTCAGTTTGCCTCGATGTGTCGGATACGCCAATTCTGAGATGAGAATAGGACTTGGCTGAGCGATGAAGCTAGTGCAGAATCCGAGAATCGCCCTTGCCGCAATGAAGGTCTCAATGTTCTTAGAAAGGCCTTGCATGATGGCAAAGGCAACGCATGTGAGAGCGCCAATCATCAAGGGCACCTTTCGGCCGAACTTGTCGCAAAGATAAGTGACCAGAAAAAGCGATATGACCTTGCCTGCTGGATAAACAGAGTTCATAGCACCAAGGAGAGGACCCTCCGGGTTTCCGAAGTAGCTACGCCATTGTGGAAGCGTTTGAAGACCATTCATCATAGATCCTGTTCCAATCCTTAGTGAGAAGGGCTGTCAATAGAGAAGCGGGATGGCACGAACCATCATATCCAATAGCACCGGACGAGACAAGGGGGATCAACAGCAGGAGGTTGAGCTTGAGAAGGTGTGGTACACGATACCAGGGACGGGAATCATCTGGGAGAACCTGGAGGAACGAGCATGTTAGCTTTCCAATTGCTGTGCATAAGAATAGAGGGTTCGCTCAACGTACAGCAGCCAGTTCGGCCCCGACAACTGTCGTTCCTGCCTTTTTGCCTGAATTGAAGAACCCCATGATGTCCGATGAGAAGAGTGGCAAGTTTGCTAGCTCCAAGAACCACAGTCCAGAGCAGCTCTAAGGTAAGACCAATGGCAAGGACCTGGAGGGGGATCGAGAGGATCTTATAGCCCCAAAGCCTTGCTCTCCCAAGATATGCAGCACCACGATGGGACCCCGTGGGGCTCACCATCTGACTCTGAGGGAGGAGATAGTGTTTTTCTCAAGGACGTACCCCAGGAAATCAGGTGGGTCCCCATGGGGTTCGTGTGGTGCCGAGAACTCAGTTTACTAGTCATGTTCCGAGAATCTCGGGACGGAACGGACGATGATTGGCCATCCGGCTCGCATCACAGACCTCGGGACGGAAGCCTATTGGACGAGTCGAGGGTATCGACTTGAGGTTCCTCCACTGGCACTTCATCTCAATACATAGTTCAAAGATGTGGAGAGTCCTAGATCGAATAGAAGATGAGGGGTTTGAAAGCACTCGCTTAAATAATGGTGGATTGTGTACTTCAAATCTTGGCATAGGTAAATGGTGTTACTGGGGAGGTCTTTGGAAGGGGGGTTTGACCCCGAGCAGACAAATATGATGCTCGGAATGAGTTGTTCGTGTGACTAGAGAAATGGTCTCTTGATTACCAAATCTCTACAGCCAAGAATCTTTAACTTGAAATGCGATTTAGCAAGAGGCCTGGCACACTGTCCACCACTCGCCCCACTTAAAGTTCAAGGTTGTCTTCATCACCACCGACCACATGCTTTCCATAGTACTATTGCTCCACCTGATGCATTTTATGCCCATGCTTCGGTACCGATGCCATTGCCAGGCATTTAGCAATTCTCAGGAAGCGTAAGTTGTCAGTATGCAAGCTCCTCCACTTGAGAACAATCCAGCTCCATGTCCGAGCACGGATGCCTTCATCTTCATACAACAAACAACAAACAAGTTCTCAATTCGATGGTAATGTTTGGGGGTTTGAAAGCTTTCTTTCCATCAGAATTTCCATATAACAGGTCCTTTATTAGACTATCATTAGACTAGTACTCGAAAATAATCTTAGGATGGGTATTGCGCATTGAGGTTCTTCACTCCTTCGATGAACGAGTCTCCCCAAGAGTGAATGGACACTTGAGTTCCCGTAGCATCAACAGCTGTGCCATACAAGCCACCATATGTCCATCTATCGTCGCCAGAGCGGCGCCATAAAGGGCCGCCAGACATGCCTCCGGCCACATCACAGTTTCCAACGATGGGGCCACCATTAGCGCAAGAGCCTGAAAGGTATAGATAGCTGTCGCGGCTGTCGGACATGTAGAGCTGTTGACCGCTTGAGAGATCGCCTGGGTAGCCCGCGTTGTAGAGCACATTCTGGTTTTCAACGACTGATCGATCCGCAGTATAGTTGCCCACTGGCATGTAGCCGCGCTGTGTGCCAAGGGCGTCGCCTAGCACGTAGAGCGCCCAGTCGTTCTTCAGGTCACAGGTCCCGATCGAGCTATCAGCTGCGAGTGATACAATCTCAGTAACATAAGCGGACGGGAAGACGTCGCCATTGTTGTAGCCTGGCTCGAACAAAAAGTACTGTGCGTCGGAATCGATACAGTGACGAGCGGAGGCCATAAGTCGCGGGCCGACAAGTGTACCGGTGCACCACGCATAGCCACCAGTGACGGGCATGTAGAGTCGGCCAATAGAGCCGAAGGGATACGCGGAGCTTGACTGATAGTATCGTTCGTCGGTTCCAATGATACGTTTCTCATGCGCTATCTTGCCTGCCGAGCGTGCAGTGACAGTACTGCTAACATTGACGGCCCATGCATCGAACTCCTCTGGCGTAAATTGTCTGATTATCGGTGTTGGTGGTGTAACCTTTGGCTTGACAAGACCTTTGGGGAGGCTAGGAGAGTATCCGACAGCCTGAGTAATGGTGGCCTGGTCGAGATCCACGGTTGAACGCCCGGTAGGACTGGCCTTAGCGTGACTGGCAAGGCCCGCAACAAGCAGGACAGACGACAGAGCAACCATGATTACACTCTTTGAATTCTTGGAAGTAATCGGGTAGATGAGAGTGAACCCTGAAGATCGACAGTGAGTCAATCCCAAATCTCGGCGATCACTCCATCACTTATATATCTGTATCACAGAGACACAATCTTCAACAACAATAATTCACCGTCGGATCGAAGCTGTGCACGAAATCCAAAGGATCAATAGTTCTGATTAATGCAGTAGATTTGCTGACGTTAGAATAGTCCTGGTATAAGGCGTAGCATCGGGAGGCATTTTCCCATGGGCTCCCTGGTTCCTCTAGGATGATTCGCCATCTTATTCTAGTCGAAGCTGTGAATGGAAGGACCCTTAAATTGGCTTTGGTCGACCCACAGGTCCGTTCAGTGCCTGGGCTTGGTATGCACATGATTCAATGCTGGGAGAAAACACACGAAGAGATTGGGTCACAGAGCCTTGAATAAAATTCATCAACAATGCAAGTCGTCTATGTGAATGTTTCGATCAATGAGATCACAGGTGGTGCTCTCTAAAGATTTCTCATTTGAAAAGTTTGCAAATGTAACTAAGCTTGATGTAGGAAAGTCAAACGACAACTCTGGAGAAGAGACGTGAGGATAGGAGACAAAATTGATTTGGGGGCCAGACTCTCTACCATGGCCCCTTCATCGAATTGAGATGGTCAAACTCATGCGGCGCAAACAATCGATGCAAGTGACCCCTACAGAGCGCTTAGAGTGGAGAGTGATGTGTCGTGAAATTACAGTGACCCATTATCCCCAATGCTGCTAGTCCGGCTTTACTCAGGATTGTCGGTGGTATAGCCTGGGTTTCTCGATTCACAGGAACAGGAGAGACATGCTCCTTTCGCCTCTAAATCTCTGCTCGGAAACTCGTGAGAAAGAGATACAAGAGAATGTGAACTTTGATCTCTGTTCGTTGACTTCAAAACAATAGCTCTCCATGATGTTGTAACGATTGTTGAACTCGAGCTTGTTGTACATTGTCGGCCTGGCCGCGTAATCCTAATACATGTCTTTGCAGGGCTGAACGCTTAGTGATGTTAGTCATGTTAGTCATCTAATACGGCCGGCACACGCCTGGGCAGAAGGATTTTGGCGGCGCACGAGAATGTCAACCGCTCCACTAACATGGTTCTGTGCCGCAAACCTTCGCCCATAAGGTGGCGGTTCAGCCGAGCCTTATTACCACTGGGCTTACAGCTGGAGATGCGTTAGGGCTCTTTGAGGCCGGTCAGGCAACCTGTGATAAAATCAGTGGCTAAAATATTCCACTGCTCAAATTTACCAGGACATTCACTCCACTGTAGATGGCACCCTCCAAAGCGGCCGTGCCCCTGAATGGAGCTACCTGCTTCTTTCAGCTTTTGCGCATTGCGGCACAGCAAGAACCCAGCAATTACAGAAACCACTGTCCAAGCTAGATGCTACGTAGTCCGGATGGTATGTTCTGAACCTCGAATGCAATGTGCCCGGCAATGTGCTACTCGACTTAGTCCTTTTTCTGGCACTCTCTTTCAACGACGCCGTATACTGGCGAATACGGGAGTCGCATAAACACCCGAAGGATCGGCTAGAAGTGCCATGTCATTATGTTGGACCACTGCTCGTTAGATGCTGCCATTATTCAAACTCCCTCGTCCGGTCATCATCCCATGCTACCATCTTAGTCTCTAGAAGAGAGACGTCAATCTCATTTGCCAAATGTTAAAATATAACTCATCACTGATACAGTACGTGGATTCCCCACGCCTGCCTCCTTGTTGGTACACTAGTCATATGCCGAAGGACATGCACACGTCTAATTATGTGTGTCTACTTCACGATTGAGTCTTGCTTCAGCTATTGAACTGACTGAATTGGTTCCGCAATGATCCCTAAGCAATATCAAATCTGAGTAGACGCTGGCTACCTTCAAAAATACATTTCACAGGCCATGCTGCCTCTTGAGGGTTGGCGGATATGTAGTGATGATCTCAAGCCACCCTAAAAAGTCCTGTTCCACGAGCATTCATACCGCAGGGTCAATCGGCCAGATGATTCTGCTGGTATCACCTTCACTCCAACGCCCTCTACCGCCACGATTCCAAATTCTTGATCGCTTCGCCCATGATTCTTTCATAACCTGGATTTGCCTATCGCCATCGCCATCCTCGTCCAGGTATTCTCTAATCACGTCCTCAAATTTTGGCACTCCATCGAAGGCATCTAGCAGATCGTACTTTCGCAGTCTGGCAGCATCCCAGAAAACGTAGGCACGGCGTCTGAGCCCATAACGCCCAAGATCCATCACGCGCATCTCTGGATCTTTAGATCGAGCATAACACCATGCTCTGAAAGGCCCTCCGTCTTCGTGGTAAATCTCTCCTGTGTGAGGAGCAGCGCGCAAGATCTCTTCCTGAGTGGCCCGCCTGAGATCAACATAACGATATCTACCAGTGTCGGGGCTATATCGCCCAAAAAAAAGTTCTCTGTATAGGTATGGCCTACAACAACGTCCGTTCGACTTTAATATGTCATTCTTCATATCGTACGAATTTGCATGCAAAAGACGGTCAACCAGAAGAATGCCGTACATAAGCTACAGTCCTATTAGTAACGACAAAGATATATAGAAAGACATTAAGTGGAGAATTGTCGGACTGTAAGATGAGGAGTACTCGGCGGCGGTCAACTCACCCATCTTTGAATTCTGAAATCCCTGCCGCCACCGTTCCTGATATAGTCGAACTCTTTATGGCCAAACTCGATATCCTGCGCAAGGACATCAAAGGCGGCTAAAGGAATCAGCTTAGAAGAGCGAGGTGTATCTGGCCCGGATGCTGAATGCAATGGTGAAACCTACTATCCAGCAGCTCTTTCTCAAGAAAGTCATGAATGCTGCCGAGCTGCTCCCTCTCCCACGGGGCGAACTTCCCCAAGAAGAGGTAACTTGTCTTGTCTGGCATATCTTCTTGGGCTCTGTAGAAAATCTCGGTAAAGTAGAAGGCACGGCAAACTCGAAAATGCTCGCCAGCTGACAATTGCAAATCATCTTGAGAGAGACAAGACCAGGCTTGATTCATGAATTGGATTGCAAAGCTGTGGATCGCAAGGTGCATGTGCTCCAAGCGCGCGAGGTCATGAAGAGATAGCTGATTTACAAGCTCCGCGAAGTAACCCGGATTCCAATCCAGTGCATCAAGAAAGTCAGTGACAAGTAGGGCGTGGCTCAGCCTGCGCAAACGTGATGCCTCCAGTACGGCCACCGCGAATGACAATAGGGTGGGCGGAATGTGACGCCGCAGGATCTCCAAAGCAACACGTGGATGCGCGTAGAAGGACGCAAAGAAGTGGCGACATGTGAGGAAAAGCGCAGGAAGAAACTTGACATGGCCGAGTTCTCGGAAGATCATGATGATGATCTCGCGGGGGAGGTCCGTGAAGCTGGCCATGGCGATGGACGGGCGCCTCTCGATTCGAACGTAACGGTTGTGCTAAAGATCGTGGACCTTGGAAGCCAGAAATGCTGCGCTGAGGCGTTGAGGCAAGGCCTCTCTGAAAAGTATCGTCTAGACAGCTTAGGCAAGTACGCGACTGCCTCGGTCCCGCGCAAACCCCAGAGCTACCCAGGTACAGTACGTCAACCCCAGAACACAACAATAGGAAGGAGCCTGAGCACACTGGATTGCGACTCTATCTCAGTACTCAGAAGTGACGTATTTTTAAGATCATACAGCCTTTCATAGACTCAACATCACCAAGGTAGATTGACAGACAGCTATACTCGGTAAATATCTTGTTGGCAACATCTAGATAGGTTAACATTTCGAATGTGATCGGCCATCCAGCCAGTCCTACGTCATATGCCAGAAGTGATAAGAGCAAACCTATTGTGGTGATACTTTCTAGAGAACTCATGGCACTGGGCAACTTGAAACTATAGTGCACAGGTGACAGGAGGATTATCTCCTGGCTATGAAGGAGGCAACCGGGGCAGCATGTGTGACTTAGACAATCAACCCTTTTCGTACATTTCACCTTTTCGTAATGTTATGCTGTAGTCTAATGAAACAGGGCAGCAGTGCCTACTGCTGACCAACACCCTCTCAAGATATCACATAACACCCACACAAACGAAGCCT